TCATGAATTAAAGGAATGTAATAATAATAATGAATAGATACATATATGGTATAAAGCTTACCATGAAAAACACCAGGAAAATACTAACAATTAAAGATGAATAGAAAAAGGATAATTAAAATCTTATCGATCTAGGTTTTTAAAACCCATGTATAAACGGGAGACGGGTCCATTGTAAGGTGCCCCAATACCCGTCCAGGTGACAAAGAACCCAGTAATAAGGTCCCTCATAGCACTGCTCAGATTTTCTACTACTTTATTCCGGAGGTGCCAAAAAGACAGCCTAGGTACAGTTTGGAACAGCAGGCTGACTTTCCCAATTGTCGCAAGATTTAAAACACCCGCCTCTGACACTACCAATTAGTAGGCTGTGACAGCAAATAACTTTCGAAAAAATAACTTGCAACTTAAATTTTTTTCAAACATCACGAAATTCTACTTACCCAGACTTCATAGGTTTTAAGCTACCCTAAATATTAGGAGTAATAAATTCCCCGTAAAATTCGCCTACCACTCTTCGTGTCATGCTCTAATCACATCTTTATCATACAATGAAAATAATGTTCGTATTATTAGTAGTTAATTTTTTTTTATTATTTTAACCCATTACAAACAGCAGAATAAAATAATAAACATATTTGCTGTTAAAAATAGACAAAAGAAAACGCATATTTATTTACAACAGATAGTACATACATGAACATTAGTAAAGGATCATAAGACATATTACACAATTAACCGATGTAGAGGCAGCTATATTAAGTAAAATTGGCATCATTACTTTTTTAAGGATGATTGCCAGAACTGAAACATTTAATTCGTGAAATTTGTAATTTCGACATTCCTTACAGCTCTTAAGCATAATTTATCAAATGTCCGTGGAAGAATGAAGGAAAATCTCCAATTACAAGAATATTATTAAATCAATAGCTCCGCGACGATTTACGTACGATCAGTCTCTCTCAGTAAAACATTTGTTTTCAGACAAGATTTCACTATTATCATACTCACTTTTGTAACAAAGTAAACCTGAAGTCAAACTTTTCTTTTCGAATTTCTAAACCTTTCCTTTACAGTTTAATAAATTATGTGTAATTGTAGGTACTTCGTCGACAATATTTAATTATCATCCAAATGTCTAAGAATCTTGAAGGTACACGTGATTTTAATTAACCACACGTTTGATAAACATGTGAAAGTAGTGCTAAATAAATAAATGTTAACTGCTGACTTATCCCCCAAGAGTATCACTGACCACTAAGGAAGATAGAAACAGTAAAGTTAAAATTTATTACCCAGTTAAATCATTCGGTTTAGAACATTTATATCACAGCTTTACATGTCGACAAATCAATGACAAACGAAAACAATCAAAAGTAAATCTTTATGTTATTTATGGCTTTCTGTTTAATTTTTTAGACAGTCACATATAACAATTTAATAATCCAACTATGAATTTTACCTGTAACAATAAAATATATCCAGTATTTATAACAATTTATAAACAAGCATATGTGTTAAAAAAATTTAAAAACTCGTAGTTATATTAGGTAATCTCTTGCTATATAAAACACGAGGATTATTTTTCGTCGTCATTGCAGGTTTGAAGAAATCCGAAAGTATATTCTTAACTTTTAAAACAAAACATTTTATTGGTATGAACATTGACTAGTAGCTGTGAGTGACTGAATACAATACTTTTCAAGTTTCAGGAAAATCAATTGCAAACTTATATAATTGGAACTTCATTAACTCTCAGAACAATTTTTTCTATGATAAGGTAGACGTTTTAGATGGAATTATGTATATACTCACCGGCATGAAAAACGGGCCAGCTAATTTTTTCTGAGTACAGTGCTTCAACGTTTTTACTACGCTTATTGTTGATGTTGTTTCTTGATCAGTATATTAATTGAATGTACTTCCACCCCACACTTTAGATGAGCTTCAGAATATGCTTTTAAATGAATGAGAGAATATCCAACAAGAATAAATAAACAATTTATTTCATGGGATGCCCTAGAGAATGGCAGCAGTCTTACAGGTTCCTGGAGGAATACACATTATTGACATCCTTAAACAGTGTGTCAATCATCATTCATTTTGCTTTTTTGGAAACCTAAATTTTTATCATTTTCTATTAAAATACTATATTCTTTAGTTCTTTATGGATAAAAATATTACAATAAACGTTGCATAACAACATCAAAGTATTGCAACCGAAATCGTACTTCATTTTGCACATTTTCGGATCTTTAAAAAAAATGCGGGTGGCCCGTTGTTCGTGCCGGTGAGTGTAGTTATAAGTTACTCAACAACAAACCAAAATATTTCAGACGAGATTTGCTACCACTAAAGTACCTACTGCACGTTGAATATGGATCTTTGCCAAGCTTGAATACGCGAAAAACTCTGAAAAAAATTATGAACTTGTCTCTTACATTTAGCTGCGTACTTATTTATTTATTACATTTCCGAGACAAATATGAATATTGTTGTTAATATGTAAACATTGGCCTCATACATTATAAGTAACCAAAGGGAAGTTGCAGTATATTACTTATTTATTTAAGAGCTTTCAAAGGAACTAAACAATTTATGTATTACGAAATATTTAAGCAAGTGTTGTGTTTAAAAACTTTGGACTTATTCACTAAGTACATATCACATTAGGAAGGAACTAATAATAATTTTAGGTAATAATAATAAGTTTGTACAATTTGTTTCAAAAAAAGCGGGCCAACAATTTTTGTTATCATGTAATGCTGACCAATAGTGACAATTAATGACAGTAATCACTGTCAAAGTTTGTCATTTAATTCCTGTCATCATTAATTGTGTCTCAAAAAGACTTGTCTCCATGCCTTATTTAACGGAAGTTGGTAGAGCACGTATTGTTGCTGAGTTAGAGTCCGGAAGAACAGTACGGGATTTAGCGGGGCTGCACTTAAATATTAAAAATATAAAATTGAGTTACCTAACCTGTCTTTCTATCAACTGTCTCACTTGTCATTATATTTTAAACTCACAATCTAGAATCCGTAACAAACTATGAAAAGCATTGAAAAAATTGACGTTTGTCTTTCTGTCATTGTCCCGCTTTTTGAAACCAATTGTAGTTTATAAAAATTACAAATCTACAAAAATATATAACTAAGTTCGAAAGTGAATCGTTTAACATTCAATGTTCACCTTACTATTTATCTTTAACGCCCTTTATTTGTCTAACTTTCTTAAGAATTAATGTCCGATTTGTGTAGAAGTACCGACGTTATGTTTAAAAATAATCACGAATAAATACGTAGCAACAGTTACACAATGAAATATGTTAGCAGCAGTGACCACCGCAGTTCTGAATTACCATGCAAATTCACTTATTCGGGCAGTGGAACCCCAAAGCATTTTCATTTCCAATAGAGGAAATGTGTGTTATGCGTTTCCAGCACTTTTGGTGTCAACATTACGAGTAGCATATAAAAGAGTGTAATATTATATTATTTTGCCTCTGTACCAGCATAAATAACCGTCTCTACCGTGAACGTAATTTACATATGTAATCATAACCAAATTTATTTTTGCAAACATCGTGGGCAATTTATTTTTGCGTTTTTAGATAAATATTTTTTATTATAACGAAAAAAGTAATGCCAGTGTGATGTCAGCTTTTATTATGTAAAAAAATACTTTACACTATAGAAAAACAACTTTCAAACACAATACCATTGTATTTATAATGTAATATATAAGACAATTTGTTGTATAATATTCAAACTGGACAATAAAATTTAAAAATACTCATAACCATAACTTTACACTGTGTATGTTGATTTTAAATAAATAAATAAATAAATAAATAAATAAATAAATAAATAAATAAATAAATAAATAAATAAAGTATGTCGTCACATGGAAATTCATTATTTTTCTTATCTGTAAAATCAAAAGAGATATTCACAGGTGCCATTAGAAAACTAAATGGGAAACTGATGCACCTAAATTTTTGAAGTACTGATGAAAAACCCTTTTTTTAAGTCTTTCATGGAGAAGAGTTCAAGTTTTTGTATGTACATTATCTGTAAAAATACATAAAGTAGTTATTAATGAAACAAGTGTACGAGAACGTACTTCAAAATTGCATTTTAATAACATTATAAAAAATAAATATAGTATTTCGTCACCTTCCACAAATCACTTTATTTTTAACATTCCCACTTTACATAACAGACGCTAAATAGTAATTTAACACCTACATACTATGTACGACTAAAATAAAAAAAGTCATCAGAAAAAAGCTGTGTTCTGACAAACACCCATATGTAATTTTTGTTGACTGTTGTATTTTAATTTTTTTTTTTTTTTTGCAAGACAGAAAGTATTCTTTAACTATTTTATTTTTACAAAAATAATAATCAAGTACAGTACTTCCTCATACTAACACAGAAGAACAAAATTTTCATTCAGCGGAAAAAACTTGAAGTCACTGCAGTCATTAATTGATCATCACGCGCGTCCAAATAGTTTAATCAACTAATTTTACCACTTACTATTTCGTGTATTTTTCAGAGTTGCGAAAAAGTACCGTGTTCAGACTAAAGAGCGCTATTATAAAAGATTGCCTGAAAAGAAGGTGAATTATTAAGTAGTGTTAAAAACGTTATAATTCAACGTTAAAGCTGATGAAAAAACACATTTTTAGATATAAAATAAACTTATATTTATTTTAGTCCTGACCATTTTTTTATTACATATATCTAAATCGTACGTACCATTAACAGACTCACATGCTGTAGAATTATTAACATATTTTTCCATTCCAAAGTTTATGAATTTATTTCTTACGAACTCCACTATCAAGCTGTCCCGGCGCATCCACCATAATGTTAGAACTTTTGTTATGTTAAATTAATCGCTTTCCTCGATCAATTTACGCGTATACACAGATGATGATGGTTTTTAAGCGTCATGTATATAATTGACCTAATTAAACCCACACAATTTAGGGTGCCTTGGACGAAGTGAAGATATTCCGTGATCCTAATGTGGCAGCGGAACAATGTAAAACAGATTTTCAGGTTTGTTACTATACAAAATATACTTATGTAGATTAACAAAGTATTTGAGTAGCCAGTTTTATTTACTATTTTAGCTAATTTATACAATAACGGTTACTTTATTTATCTATAATGCAAAATAATTATATTTAAATTTTTATTTTAAATTCACTCTGCTTATTTATGTAGACTATTTCTTACTTTATTTTTTATTTTTGTAACCAGGGTTTTCAAAGTGTCAATCCAGATTATGAAAACGAAGTAGATGAAGTAAGTAAAACTTAAGTAATGTACTGAATGCATCAATGTATTAACTGATTTAATCTCTTTAGTAGTAAACTTATACTAATACTAACATATTAATAACGACAAGGTTCTTCTATTAATTTTATCGCATGCGCTAAGGTACCTATGCATCAGACAAACTCTTTACTTCTTTACTGCCTTATTTTGGAAAGGACTTTGAGATATTAAAAGAAATTGAAAAAATACACACATTTACACACAAACGAATACACAATTACATTTGTATGTAACAAAAACGACAGGTTTTGATTGATTTAAAATTTAACGTTATGTTGCTTTTAATTTCCATCTTGATAAAACTCCCTGTTATCTTAACAATTTTAATTTCACTTTAACTTTTGGTAAAACATTGAAAACCATCTGTCAACAATAAAATAATAATTTGTTACAATATTATAATCGTTTAATTAAGTATAAATTTTACTAAAGTTAACCGCGCTTATTAGCAAAACATTATTATTTACACATTATAGTGACACATAAAATAATGAAAATTTTGAAGTATAATGTATAATCCAAAACCATTAATTGTGAAGATTCTTCATTAAAAGAACTCCGCCATTACCTCGCTACAAAAACCTACCAACAAATAAAAACAGATATATGTATTTAATATGATTGTACTTACCTAACAGCATACAAAGTGGGAATCTTGTTTTCCATTGGTACCTTTGTAAATGACAAGATATACATAATACATAAAGTAGAAAAAACCTTAGACTGCTTTTTGACAATTACAATTCTACTTTTTTTTTTTAATCTATTTAGAAATTTCAAATTTATAAAATACATAATATAACAAAAAATAAAGGTACCTAATCAGCTAATAATAAGCGAAATAGTGAAATAACATAAGATACCGATATAATGCAGAAAAAAATAATTATTTTTCTTTTTTTAAATATCAATAAAAGTCAGAACGGTGTCAAAACCGGCGAGTTAATTTCTTCAAAATCTAAAAAGTTAGAATATTATTAAGTACCTACTATTATGTCATTTCATATTTTAGTAGCAAATATGACACTTGTTCTTGGGAAAGCAAAAGAGATATTCAAAATATTGTAAAGGACTACTTTCAGTTTTTTCATCATAATTCTAAAATTACTGCATATACTTCGAAAGCTTTTCCAATTTAACCCAACTCATATGTTTTCCTTGCTTTTACTTCCCAAGCGTATTGACCTACTACCACCCATGGGTAATCCAAATTAATCAACTCCATTTTATAAAAGAAATGATGACAATGTATCCACCGGTGAACGGTTGTCTTATCTATTTCTTACAATATATTGACTTGTTGCTTAAAATCACTTTTTTACTGTAACTTTTAAAAACTTTTGCACAACCATGCAGAGTTGAGAATAATTTTTTATACAATTTTTCTGTCACTGACGTTCACACTTTTATTAAAAGTATTAATATACTCGAGCTTTGTTTCCAAATTTGACCAGATAACAAACCATGCATCAAAAACTTAGGTTTATGAAAAATGAAATTTGTAAATTATGTTTTATAAACAGATAAGGTTAAGTATGGTTTCTTATTAAAACAATGCACACTCCTCATGATAGGCTTAAGTGGATAAATATTGATTATACCAGGGCAGAAGATCTCCCCCACCATACAAAATAGGAGTAGTTACCGTAAAAGTAGCATTTATTTTACATTTTTTACAAACAATTAAAATCTGTCTTTAACTTTTGTAGTACAGTTCAGAACAATAATAACCCATATTATTTAGGTTGAACGTAGCGACTATGACGGAACATTCAGAGAAGGAAGTGGTGCTGAAGACTTTGGATTCATACCTCCTCCACCTCCGCCACCAGACGGTAAGCCCTGCTCTTGTGAATCCGAAAATTGTTGCAAATTTCTTATCAATGATAAAGCTGGCTATGGAAATAAAGGAGAAAAAGGCGAAAGAGGATCAAGGGTAAACCACTTTTTCGTACAATTTTCTAAAACAATGCAGCCAATTTTATTTAGGGCCCACCAGGTGAATCTATCAGAGGACCTCCTGGCCCACCCGGACCACCAGGAATACCTGGACCTGCAGCACCTGAGGTGTGTTAATTAAAACCGTAGTGGTTGCTAAATAAACCGTACATTCTTCTTCTTTAGGGGGTCTGCACTTGTAATTTCACCAGTTTATTAAGTTCATTATCATCATCAAATCTTCTTCCGGGTTCAGTAGGACTCGAAAGTAAACCAGGCCCTCCTGGAATCGAAGGACCTGCAGGTCCTCCTGGCGAAAAAGGAATACCTGGTACACCGGGCGAAAAAGGTGAAAGAGGCGAACGAGGTCCTCCAGGTACAGCTGGATTACAAGGGCCGAAAGGTGATTTTGGAAAAGATGGTCTTCCTGGCAAACCCGGTCCTCCTGGACCTCCCGGACCACCAGGTCCTGTCGAATTCGAAAATGTTGATGTGAGTTAAATTATGTTTTAACATCACGACTATAGAATGTAAGGTTTTAATTTTATATTATGTTTCTACTCTCACAAGCAGCCAAGTTGGAAACCTAGAGGCCCTTTTAAGGTATAAGCTGGTTACGAAGTTTGTTTATTTAATGAAAGAGAAGGTCTAATAAATTGTAATAACTAAAGAATGTTAAAAGTATTTTAATTTATTTATAGAAATGAAAATGCTTCAAAATAAATATTACTTTCAGTAAATTTGCTACAAATTTCAAGTAAGATCGCCACTAACCATATAGGCAACTGTGTCTGCATATCGCTGGCTTGTTTTACGCATATATATGAATTATAGTGGTTTTTATGCAGGAGACGGTACTTGGAGGTCCACTCGTACGTCCAGGCGTTCCAGGAACGAAAGGCGAGCCTGGAAAACCAGGTCCTTCGGGTCCTCGGGGTGAAAAAGGTTTACCAGGAATCAAAGGGGTTCGAGGAGAGGTGGGTTTAAAAGGGGAAAGAGGAGATCGTGGTCTTCCGGGCGAAAAAGGTTCTCCAGGTTCCAAAGGTGAACCAGGCTCCACCGGATTAGATGGAATACCTGGTACAACTGGACAGCATGGGAAACATGGTGATAAAGGAGAGAAGGGTGCTCCAGGGCCTCAAGGTCCACCTGGACCTCCTGGTATTGCTTATGGAGCTGATATGACCGGCGTAATATCCGGTGCTCCTGGGCCAAAAGGCGACCAAGGCGAAAAAGGAACTAAAGGAGATCATGGTGAAGATGGAGAAGCTGGAATACCTGGTGTGCCTGGACTGAATGGGCCAACTGGAGTATCTGGTGAAAAGGGGGAACCAGGTGAAGTTGGCCCTATTGGGCCGGTCGGGCCTCCGGGTTCTAAAGGAGAAAAAGGAGAAAGAGGGCCACCAGGAAGCATAGTTACACCTAATGGGAGTGAAAACGTACTAGTAGTAAAAGTAGGTTCAAATATAACTATAAAGGTTTGCATTTACAATCTCTACCACTAATTGTGAACATGTGTCATCTACATTAAACTTTCATCAAATCAAAATGAATTTCCAATTTTAATACCTCTTATATTTTTCTCTGTTTTCCAGGGAGATAAAGGGGATCTCGGACGACGTGGAAGACGTGGGAAACCGGGTCCCCCGGGACCAGCTGGACCTCCTGGCAAACCCGGTACTGTAGGAGAAATAGGTCTACCCGGTTGGATGGTAAGTCACCAGACTATTTGTTCTGATCTTTGTATTAAAATTTGCTGATTTATTTTTGCTCTCTCAGAATGGTAAAGTAAGTATTTCATGTTTATTTTCCGGTGTACGTTAAGCTAGTACAACAAATGATAGTGAACAATAACTATTCGATATTGTTTTGGTTTAAGTACAACGCTAATTACTTACAGTACTTGTTGACATGATAAACGAACACAGGACTGCGCTATCCGAGCGTGGTATCTAATGGACCTATTAGATAAAGTGCAATATATTTAAAAGATTTGTGTAATGTCCCATATAAATTTTCGGTGCAGATTGTAGAAAATTGTTTTGGGGTGCTTTTTTGTAATCTAAATTGTTGTCATGATAAGGATCTAACAGTTTATTTTTATATTAGGGTCGACCGGGTTCTGCTGGATTACCAGGAATTCCGGGACCAAAGGGTGAAAAAGGAGATGCCGGTAATTACGGAGGGGTAAGTTTGTCTTACATCGGACGTTCACAGTAGGACAGAAAGCGTTAAACTTTCAAACATTCCTACATCGATGCATTTTTAATATCAAGATTAGTTTCATCACGTACAGCGCAACATGTTTACAAATAATCCAAAAAGCTGCACTCATTATTTTTGTGTTATAATTACCAGTCATCGAATTAATAAAATCGTTATTATGTTTTATTTCGTAACTTCCCGGTTAGTGGTGTGTGAATTTATATTCATGTAACACACCATTTTAAATTAGTCGTGTATTTAAAACTTCGTTAATACTGCGCGTCATCAACAGGTCTTTAAAGTTCTGTATCAGGAAAAAAGCAATGCTAAGAGCTTTGCTTATATTTTCTACTGCTTGAATAAAACATCTAAAAAACCTAATAAATCGTATAAAGTTGGCTGTTTATGTACACTCGTTTAGGAAGGATAAAAAATTTTCATTAAATTATTTAAAAGTACAAAAAGGAGGCTATTCGACAAATGAGAACATTATCTAATGATGACTTTGCGTGTTTTTAATGAAGCATTATTATTACTGTCTCTGCCGATTGACCACATTAATAATTCCGCTAGTAATCTAAACAAATATTTGGGATACACTTTTCAATATACCGGGTGCCTGGAAAATGGCGGATTAACTCTCCGCAAGGCTCTTAACAATCAACTGGTGCGTCTAGGAAAGTAGTAAAAAAATTCCTTCTCACATTTTGGTGGAATTATAATGATTTTAAAATTGGTTGTTTTGCTACGGTTAACAACTAAACAACGCATTCATTATCACAATAACTAGTAATAAAACTTTTAGTTAGTATTTTTCTCGCCCATGACCATGTTTAATTACGATTTCAGTTAGAATGCACACTGTGTTGTTTTTGTAATAATTTGATAAAGTTCCATTTGACAACAATGTTTGCCTGATATAAAGCGAAGGTGGATTTCAGTCACCATCGTTACTAAGAAACCAGAAAGTAAGCCGGAGGTATTCATGCATTAAGGTGTGCAGTGTTGCCAATTTTACTTTTATAAAATTACGTTTTTTTTTTTTTCATAATGTACATCATAAAGAATTTTTCCAGACACGCGGTATGTAAATATTTCATTGTTTACTAAAAATGTTATCACCCTCAAATAATAATGAGCATTACTTAATAGCCTAAAGGTGACAAGGGTGACAAAGGTCACGATGGCATTCCTGGAAGACACGGTCGAGATGGCACTCCGGGACCACCTGGCTTGCCCGGAGCAACATCTGACGAAGCAATCCGATATATTCCCGTTCCGGGACCACCTGGTCCTCCTGGTCCCCCTGGACCCCCTGGACCCCCAGGAATTCCTGGAGTGTCAGTAACAGGACCGAAAGGTGAACCTGGTGGTCCTCCATATGGAGAACCAACATATAATTTACGTCCAGGTATGAAAATTATAAATTTAAAATTTGTGTCTTTTGTAGTCGGATGATATTAATATATAAAAATCATGTTGCTTAAGTTTATTATATTTGATACAAATGAGCCAAACATGTTTATTTTAAGATGGTTTTTAATACCGATGTTTTCGTTGCACTTTATATCGTCAACCGAGAATTATTCTAATACATTTTTATAATTACATAACATAAAAAAATACTTCATATTTAGAATTAAATATATCCCAGAAATAGATTTTGTAGCATCCTAAAAGCTACCTAATAACTTTCTCTCTTGCCTTTTAAATTTTATTTGAAAAGGACATTTTTTGTTAGTTTGAGTATACCATCACAAAAGGCTGAATCGTCGTTTATTAAATCAAGGTTAATAAATAGTTCTACAAAGTAAAGATTATATAACCTGTTTAAAAGTCTTTTGCATGTGGGCAGCTAAATAAAAATTTGAATCATACCTACATATATATCTTTATGCATATATGTACATGAAAAGTACATATTTTTTAACGTTCGAAAATATTGATTGTACAAAATGAATTACAAATTAATTTAAAATTTAGTTTTTAATACATTTGTTCAAACAATTTAAGAAGAATACTAAATTATAGAATAATTCTCAGTAGACAGCAGATTGTGAAAATTTTAAACTATAAATTATGTTTACGCACACATTTAAGGAATGAGAAGTAGCTTGGAAGAACTTAAAGCCCTAAGAGAACTAAAGGATTTAAAAACAGGTACTTCTTTGTTTGCTCTTTTTCTTTTCAAAGACCACTATTCAACAAGGTAGGTACTATTAACGCACTCACTGCCGAATGCATGTAACATTTATTAATGCGGGCGTGTTTCTACAATTTCTGAAAATAATTTAAAAGCTAATTAAAACACAACCTATTGTTTTAAAAATGTGTGACATCCTGTATAGAGCAGAATTGTGTTTTTAAGAATCGTTTACGATATTTAAAAATCTTTTTAAATATCGTTAACGATTCTTAATTCTTTAATGTTAAATTATACCATGCATATGTATAAATTAACATTAAAATCGCAAATGTTACCTCAGTTTATTTTTTAATACTGCACTGGAAACTGGATATAATGAAAAATTAATATACTTTTAAATAAAGTTAGTTGTATGAATCTAAAAGTTGCAAAACATTTTTTTTCATTTTCTGTCTTAAGTTATTCAAGTTTTTACTTCCCGAGCGTATGCTAAGGAAGCATAGTAATCGAGCCCATCGAACGAATGTCCACCTTTATGTTCTCTCGACTTTTCTTTTATAACCAAGCGAACATGTTCATAAACTTTCTAATTAAAATTAGGAGTCATAAGTGTCATAATCATTTGTATACTACTAATCGAAGTAACTGCTTCTGTTTTTCACAGTAAACGGTGATGAACACAATTTTTGATCATACTTTATTCAAAGCATTAGACACAGTTATTTTTTTCAATTTTTTATTTAGAACTAAATTTTGATTTAACAGCTCAAATTTATTAATGAATGTTTAACTACATATCGATCATATATCTATAGGTGATTTCACAGCCCTGGATATTATTTCTGTTTACAATAGGCATACAATAACCAAATAGTCCGTACTTAACTAATTCACATTGTAATAAAATTAATTTGGAAGTCGTGAGCGATGATGAAGCATTATTTGTTTATGTAAAGTTTGGGTTTAATTTACTTAACTGATTACAGAATAATGTAATTATTACAGTATTAATGTACGAAATAGAGATCTTAACAGTACCAAATTTAAAGGAGCATTTTAATTTATTAAAGAAAACACAATCAGTAGCAATAATTTAGGCCAGCCTGGGTTTGTGATTTTTACTTTAAAAAATTCAGATACAGGTTGGAAAACTGTGAATCAATTTGCAATTTGAATACACACTTCCCACATGCCGCTATGTCAGACATGGTTTTTCATAATGTCCTATTTCTACTTTAATTTCTATATTTTTACAAATTAAAATGGAATAACTGCACTGCACTTTTTACAGTTTTATTCAGATGAAACACAAAACTTAATCAAAAGTGACTCCGAATCTGACTAAAGACAGTTTTTTGGGTTTTGTCAACAAAAATGCAGTCAACTTCAGTTAAAAAAGAAACTGTCTTTAGGTAGATTCTGAGTCACTTTTGATTCAATTTACTAGACGTAAATGTGTACATATTCACATTAGTAAGACTGTTACTTTTTTACTGAAGCTGATTGCGTTTTACATCTCCATTTGATACATGGGAATATATATATTAAGTAATTAATTATTATTGAAGTTTAACTTCGACGTATCGCTTAAAACGACATAACATTGTTGAGAATATTATCCATTATTTGAACTCCCTTTTAGGCAGATCTACAGCAAGTCCACCTATATTCACGGCTCCTGAACATGAAGTTACGGCTCGCATTGTGCCCGGAGCTGTAACTTTCCAGGACCACGACGCCATGATAAAGATGTCGTCGGTCAGTCCCGTGGGAACTTTGGCCTATGTTATTGTAGAAGAAGCTCTTCTTGTGCGAGTTAACAATGGTTGGCAGTACATTGTGGTAAGTCTAATGATAACTGCGATCTAAATTCTGCATCATATTACTACACTAATGATTAAAATCAGAATTTCATAATTTGCTTAGGTATAACAAAAATTCAAATTACTCTAAACGTCATAAAATACTTTTTTTTCTTCAACAATTGCTGAAATCTAAATTAACTGAAATTTGTATTCTGAATATATTGTATTCTAGTTGGGATCGGTTTCACACGTAACAACCCCCGCTCCAGCTACTGCAAGTAGCCCACAAATTAGGCCACCCTTCGAAGCCAGTAATCTCATTAATCACATATCCAAACCAGCGGATGTTTCTAATGTAAGTATAGTTGATACGTTAATGAATGAATAAATATGGCATGCGTCGCACTGATGATATAAATCGTCGATTACAATAATTCAAAAGATTTTTTTGATATTAACTTCAAATGATATTTTAAATAAATGTAAATTGCATTTTAATGTTAATACATTTTCCATTTTTTTATTAATCATAAATTACACGTGACAGTTATAAAAATTAAGTCAGAATTGAAACACTGGTAAACTGAACGACACCACAAAACATGAAAGTCGCTTATAAAGAAACGAAAATCCTGGAATCGAACCCAGGATCAAAACAGAAGCCTTACTAGTACGCTGGATTTACGATACCATACGAACATACGATGGTATTTGCACCAGCTCTGTTTGTACTACCATAGAATAGTAAAACCACAACAAAAGTAAATTTCAGTCAATATTCTGTAAACATTGAATCAATGTTAGTGTATTACCAAAATCCCAAAAATGTTCATTATGTATGTTATAAGACTAATATTGCATAATTTCATTCTACAAATTTTAATTTTTACTTTTCCAGCGTAAGTTACGACTAATTTCATGTTTTTCCAACATTTTATAACTCCTAAAATATCAACATAGCTCTTCCATTTCCGTTACTTCATCGTCTGTCGTTTGTTGGTAATTGCATTAGATAATTAATCTCCGAGTTGTTGTGAAATTTTAGATGTATGTATTTTAAAAATATCGTGTACATCAAAATCATCCCATCCAAAAATTTGATGACCACGTGTCAAGATTTTGCTATTTTTTTTTTTTGTCTATTACTGTTTGACATAAAGTAATAAAATATAGGTTTTTTCATGTTTATTTTCTGATTTTAAAAGCATATCAATGCAATTGCCATAGTTGTGAAAATTGTTAGCAATTTATAATGTTCGTAACATTTATCATTTTGTTCTGTATTCCAATATGTAAAGATATGCCGAATGTATCATATTATTTTCCGGAGGACATTTCGATTATTAGTAAAGATATCCACATGTTATAAAAGTCAAATTTAATAGGATAATAGCATAGAATGATGGCATCCGATGATAACCCAACTCCAAACTTGTTATGCTCATACAATACCAGTCACACATATCTGTTTAATTTAGTATGGTTCTTTACATCAGTGAAAAACAAAGCATTTAAAATTTTTCTAAATCATATATATTTTACAAGATTTTTTAACTATTAAAAAACTATTATCTTCTATATATTGTTGTTTTTATAATTTTTTGAATATTTTTAGAGTATTGTACCCTCGTTCCAAGTGCATAATATCAGAAACAATATGAATAACACAACTGTTACTCGTGGCACTAGCAAAAATCGATATTAAATGTTTTTCTTGGATTTTCTTATAACGGCGTCAAGTGATAATCATATCAGGGTTTTTTAAACAACACATGTTCATCTGTTATGAAAAATTGAGATATATGAGGGCGGAGCACAGAGCGAAACAAATAGCCACTAAACATTTGCGCCTATATTTTTGTTACCACACAACTCGTCAGTAATCTGAGCTTTTATCGCATATCATTGTTTTATCTAAAGCGAAATATAATCTGTAAAACAAAACCTGTGACAAGCGATATCTAAGTTTTTCTCAGCGTTATAGAGTATGCTACTAAATTAAAACTAAAATAGCTATACAAGTTACCACCTTAATTCTTTAATGTTACGTCCATTTACATCATACAAATCAACTGAGTGTGTATCACAGTAAAAAAAAATAACGTAAACAAAACACTTGTAATTTAAATTAAAGTAATCATAGTTAAAATTACCATTAAGTAATATTCAAGTTTTGTAATAATTATATATTTATTCTGTTTTATAATTATTCATTTGTATGTTAATAGTCTCCACGAGATACCCCATTTTTACACTAAAATTGTTTATAAACCCGCCAAGAATTTTATTAACCATTTTATCGCTGGAAAACAGACAGTTTCGCTAAAGAAGGAAGATAAACAACGAATTACCCTCATATTTTATGTGGAGAATGTTAATCTTATCTAACTACATATTTTTTTCAAGATTAATCTTGGGTTCTGCCGCAGTGGCTTATACTTTAATTTTTACACTTACATAAATATAAAAGTGAAAATAAATTACTAATTTAATTGTATAATAAACTTTCATCAAAATTCTTATTACACTGTTAATATGATGATAAATTTCCTTTGCATAGGAAACAAGTAAAGCGCTTATTCGTATTATTATATATAAATAAACTTTTTTTAGCATAACCCCTATCTGTAATGATTAAAATAGGGGTATACTGTTATTAAACCACAAGCAAAAACGTATGTTATGCTACATAATACTTCGAGTGAAATGTTTTTATACAATTTTCTGTTAACATTATCAGTTTTCCATTAAATAAACTTATTGATTTTGGTTCCAAAAAGAATTTTATTTTATTGATCTAGGTTTAATGGGGTATTTAGATCAGTAATAATGCATTGTATTAAACGTCGTTTAACAATAAATAAATAAATAAATAAATAAATAGGCAATAAAACTTGCATTATTACTGTCCTAAATACCCGATTAATCCTCATTTTAATAATAATTAATAAGGGGGAGATTCTGGAAACTCCGATAAGTTGCAAATCGCTATCGAAACTGCAAATACAATGCAACAACAATACATGTTGCTATGGTTTTGAATTTGCAGATCCTTGCAAGGCCTTATCGAGTTTCGAGAATCTCCCCCTAAGGAAATATGGAGCGGAATTTAATTGCAAAATCCTTATTATTTCTATACAAAAAATTACCATGTAAGACATGTTTTTGAGTATCGTATTATTCAAAGAATACTCCGCCTCATAATTACAAAATCCATATTTCCTTGCAAAAATGTACCATTTTAACCATGTTTTAAGGTACTTCTTGTGGGAAAATGGCTATGTATATTTAAAAAAAAAGGCAAAATATAAAATTAATACAAAAATACGACCAAGAATGCTAATAACTAATAACAGTTACTGTTGTTCCCAGAATTTGAGTGAAATTAAATAAAATGTTTTTCTTAGCAGAAAAATAAAACATTTAAATCATTAATATTTTTGAGACACCCTATTCAAGTAATTTTAAAATTAAAAATTTATTAACACAAGCAAAACAGCATTGCATCTCATCATATTTAAGTAAATATTTATTTAATAGGAGTAACTTTTTATATCTCAATAACTTTCTGAAGGGGCTGAATAAATAAATTTTGTCAGGGTTCTATTCTAATGAAATGTATGTTTTAACAACATTTTTTTTTATTGTAATTCGTGTGCATTTTTTATCTGGATAAAGACGTTGATACATGTGCATTACAAAATTATAATCTAATATGTAACATCTCACATTGTTTAAAAAAAATTGGTCGTAAGTTATTTCGACAGAACTTCCCTCGCTGCTGAAGTATTCAGTCATTAATATGTTTAAGCAAATCTAAAAAATATTAATGCAATAAAACTTTAAAACGTCTGCAAAATTTCAAAGCATTCAGTTTCGCAATTCTTAATTTATTTAATAAAATAAATTGACTGATTCATTAATTTTTTGAGTCACCATGTATAAACAAATCTAAAAAATATGAATGCAATGATAAATTATAAGTATAGACTGATCATATTTTGCACGTTTTAGATAGAATTTATTCGACAAAACTTTGAGACGAGGTTATCAATTTGTTAGGGTTGATAAACAGATACATTTTGATTAAAAAGTTACCATGCTTACAATATCTTCAAAATGTCTGCAAGATTTCAAAGTATTCAGTTTCGCAATTCTTGATTTAATCAAGAAAATAAATTGATTGAGTCATTAATTTTTTTGAGACACCCTGTATAAGGAAATCCAAAAATGAAATGAAATGAAACCACAGGTATAGATTCATCATATTTCGGATATTTTAGATAGGATTTATTCGGCAAAATTTTGAGCTAACGTCATCAATTTTTTGGAGGGGATAAGCAAATATATTTTGATTAAAAATTTATCATGCCTATCATAACTTTAAAACATCTGCAAGATTTCAAAACATTCGATTTTGCAGATTCAAAATTAAATTGCAAAATGTTTTATAATTTTGATTTTTTTTCCAACATCTGGACGTTTCAGGTAAAAACTCAACACCACGTCATAAAGTATATGTGTTGGACTATGTTATTTTATACAATTTAAAGCTCATTTATTCTGTACAATTTTGAAGTGACATCATCACATTATTGATGGGGATGATTAGACTATAAAGCATAACCATGTCGAGACGCTCTGAATTGTAAAAATTCACCATTGTCAAAGACATTAACCGAGCACACCTACAACCAACTGATATATGACTGGCCCTTATCGTGTTTTTACACGTTGCTTATCAATGCGCCGCTTTTTTTATTCTTAATCCTAGTCGTTCTGTGCCATTCACTGAATAGTAGTTATGGTAGTTAAAAAAACATCACTACCAGTGGCGTGTATAACAATTTACATTAAAGTTCAAATAATTTTTTCTAGACATTGCTACAAGTTTCCTAACTTGTAAACTGTGTAAAGTTCACGTTCCTACGTGAACTTTACGCAGTGCAATAAATCTTATTATGAGCTATTCCCCATTTTTTTTATTGCGCTACACTCATCTCCAAGGTGCGTAGTTCATTACCATATTTGGCCTTTTCAACAATTGATGATAGCAATAAGTAAACAAATCGTACTTTACAAAAAATAAATTTAGTGCAAACTACCTGCTCCCATGTTAAAACTGATCGTATTAAGAAAATATCACCGAGGCATCTAATAGTTCGTTAGACGGAGGTAAATAATACATTTACTCAGTAAGTTTATACCAAAACAAAAAATTATGACACTCCACATTTGTATACTAAGTAAATTTTTGTGTATAAATTGACTTCCATTTCACCACCCTAGCAAAACTTTTTAGGACTATAAAAGACATAACTTAACATCTTATTATTTACATCTTCATAAAATCCTTCGAACAAAAGCCGATTTATGCAAAAGTACATTAAACGCTATATGGTTGAAAGTGATCAGTACCAGATGAACACGTACCTATTTTCTTTCAAGTTGCCAAATCTTTCTCTACCTGATATAACAGTCATAGGTATTTAAGAGAACATTTTTAAAAATGTTCACATATTTTTTCAGTGTACATAATTAAAACAAATTACACTTAACTACAAAATGTGTACATCAATTATTATTGTACGACAAAAAACTGTTAAAACTGAACCAAACAAAAAGCTGCAAACTTATTGGCATGTAACTTCTCTCCCTATTGCTGAACGAAATGAATATCTGTGCCCGGAATTTGAGTAAAATCAAATTAGTCTTTTCTTCGGCAATCAGTAATAAATCGAATCACACATTAATTTTGTAATTCTCAATATCAGGAGCTAAATTACCTAAGCAAAAAGCCCAAATATAACAATCACTAAATTTTACGAAGAAAAACTATATCACGAATTGTGTTCGAGTAGACCATTTATTGAAAGGAAAGACAACTAGGTACAGTTGAAGTCTATTCTTTCTTCGCATAATAATTTTAAAGCACTACCTGAAATTTTAAACTATTTGATTCGCTAGTTTATTGCTAGTCGAACAAATTTCCTAACTATAAATATCGCTTGGCAAGCAATCAATTAAAACTATTTATAATCATGAAATTCAACGGTCGATTAATTTTTAAAGAGGAACCAAAAACACAAAACCCAATTGTTATTTTATACCAAAAATCTTCTATAAAATTTCTAAACAGCTGTGCATCCAAAACAAAGTTTCATGTTACAAATTAACTTGTTTCCGTTGCCCCTTCGACTTTGCAAATTCGAATCATTATTTAGTTTATTAAAACTGGCATGTGCTGATTAAACTTTATCCATTCCCTAACAGTTTCTACTGATCAATATAGTCTCGATTCAAATGTAATTTTTGAAAACAGCAGTAGAGCTTATCGTTGTGCGTTTATATGTGGTGTATTTTACGAAAAAAAAAATGATATAAAACTATTTAGACAGAAGTTCCCTCGCCCTTGAAGTATGATCAAACAAATTCAGCTTCCTAGATAAATTATAAAATTTGATTGTGCGCATTTTATTTATTTTATCATTTATGATGTGTGTGATAAAGGTAAAGAAGCATGCTATTGCTTATGTTTCAAGTGAGTCTTTCACAACAAAATTTTGTATTCTGAAAATATGAATGCACTGGTAAACCACAGGTTAGACTCGTAATATTTTGTACAATTAGATAGAATTTATTCAGCAAAATTTTAAGATGACGTCAAATTTGTTGAGGGGATAAACAGATAAATTTTTATGATTAACTTCAAACGTTTGCAAGATTTCAGAGCATTCAAAATGTTATTGTAAAATTGTGATGTTTTCGAATCTGGATGTCTACGGTAAAAAATAATGGGGATGATCGAACAAATTTTGTCTAGTGCGTTACCATCTAGAAGATGTTCCTAATATACCTCCATATAAAATACTTACAATCAGTCGGAGGTTATCTGCCACGCTCGGGAAGTAATAAAACGTGAAGCACTTATTGTTAGTGGCAGAATTCTGCTTCTTGTAAAATTATGTTGTAAAAAGAAATTCTGTAGGGAACATTTATATATCTCAAGGTTGCAATTAACTTCCAAAATTTCGAAAATGTAATAATACAAATTTCAGAAGTTTTATTTCTCCTTTCGTGTGATCTTTCCTTGGTTTAAAATAATAATTATACTTCATATTAACTTTAAAATTTAACCTAATGAATTTTGAAATTGAGATTGCAACCTGGCGATCTGCAAACATTTCGACATTGGTATAGTTATTACTCTTTTATCATTAAGTTATACAATTGCAGTTATATACTATAACAGTAAAAATTGGTCTAAGATTATTTGAACTGAACTTCGCTCGGCTCTGAAGTACAATATGTAACAATTATAACACATATATATGATATAATTTAAATAAAGAGATATATGTAATGTTAAAGTAAATGTAAAGAAGCATGCTATGCATTTGTTTCAAGCGAGCTTTTCCATTACAAAATTTTGTGATAACGTCATCGCAAAACTTTGTAACAGAACAACTCACTTGAAACATACTCACATACGTCATTTTAACTGACTGGAGTTATCAAATTAGCTTAAACCAATTTTTTTGTTGAAGTTCCAATAAAAAGCGACAAAGTTCACCAAGTGTTCTAAGTCACAAGAAAATTTTGACCGATTTATAAATTTTTAACAGGCTAAGACTTGGCTACAGTAACAGTTTTTTTTTTTATTTTTCACAAAGTAAACCCTATAAGAAAAGAAAAATTTACAGATAAGAATTAAAATGCGATCTTTAGTTATAGTTTTCTTAGTAACATATGTCACCTGAAAACTGTTCATTGAAAAATGTAACGGCTATTTTACATATATCATGTATCTCAGTTTTTTCCAATAACTAACTTATATTTTTTTGTTTCAGTGGTATCCGAAAATGGTAAGTTGAAACTAAATAATACACTCCACGTGACCTCAATCAGTAAGTAATTAGGAGTATAAGGATCTTGAATGCTGCATTCGTTCAATGCTATCTAAGTGTATACATACTATATACTTGAAAAATATATATTCTTGAAAAATCAATAGCGAAGCAACAACTTGCCACGTTCAGCATTATAACCTACTGTTGTGAAATAAAGACCCTCGTCTGCAACAACTTTTCCATTATAACAAGCTCAAGCATTCTGTATAAAAACACACTTTAACTGGCTTCTTCTCATTTTCTTGCTATTATGTAGGTACCAAATTTGTCCTTTTACTAATTTTATCATTGCTCAACTGTTTGTTTTTTTAATAGAAAAAACTTTTTTATTTCCGATAATTTTAGTAAATAACAGTTACCGACTCGTTTAAATATTTTATAATATACCTAACTTCAATGAGCTGTGAAATACATGGAATAAGCGAAACAAATAAGTATTTTTTCTACCGTCATTTTTACATTAAAATAATTTACCTGCGTTAGCAACTTTATTTCTCGGGGGATGTGAGGGAACAATAATAAGGTTGTAATAAAGTTTTGCAAAGGTCGTAATAACAAACTCAATCCTTTTTGAACTTAAATATTATTATAGATAACTTAAATTTGCGAGACAGGTCAGAAAATTAAACCCAAATTATTATTATTATTATTTTTCAATAATAATCTTAGTAATATATTATCATCTCTATAACAGTACGTAATGTACATACACCGTTTATGGTTGTCTGCTAACCAAAAAGAACAATATGTAATGTTGAAAAATAAAATTGGTTGGTCCATATCTGTCCGATTTTTCCAAGAACGACTGCTTGGAAACTGCGTCCAAAAGTCACATAGACCAATTTTTCTTGCAAAATATTCCATTTTAATTCATTCATTGTTAGTATTAGGATTCAACATTACCCACTGTAAAAAAAAACAAAATTTTGTATTATATCTAGGTAATTACTATGTAAACGAATTTAAGTTTAAGATTTTCCCCTAATAAGCATAACAAAAAATGTAGTACCTATGTAATCAAGCTAGACGTGGAGAAATAAATAAGAACAAAAATTTTAAAAACAAATTTCTTTCTCATTTACTATACTAAAGTAATTGCACAGGTGTAACGACTGTTCTACTACAAACGTAATACTTCACAAAGCAAGATAATTAAAAATGTACTCGTCTACTATTAACTATTTATTTGGGAATTCAGTGTTAAAGGTATATACGAGTATTATGAAAAGGCGTTTTGGGTAACTTTACAAGTAACTAGTAATGTTACTAAATATTTACTTATCGATTGTGACGCGCACCTACTCAAAATATGCGTCACAATCGGTAAGTAAAATAAATAACATTTTATTTTAAGAGGAAACCAATTAATTTAGAGCGTGAGTCTGATGAAAAGCGCAATTTATTTGTCCAATGATTTAACGCGAGACAACTCAGTAATCCTTAGTGATTTTTAATAAGCCAGGGATATCACAAAATTGGATTGCTCACATTCGTATAGAGATGTTCGATACCTTTTGTTGTTTTATGGGCAACGATCACTATCTTATTACAACCTGCCAATTCTATCTGAAAAGGTTTTCCAAATAGGGTACCTCCCAGCCTCATAAATTTCGTAAACAAAACTCTTGAATTAAAGCTCCAGTTGTTCTGCCTAATTAAACCGTATTCAGTTAGACTGAAAGTTGAAATCAATTTCATAAATTGGATACTTTTTAGATAAATACATATTCGGAAATAAGAGATATACATTACACAATAATTATTATTTATTTAATTTATTTAAATTTATTTTTTAAAATAGTAATAATTGATAATGCGCTAATATACTTACTGCATTTATTTACTTTCATCAGAAAACAAAATATACAAAGAAACAAAACATTAATAACATGAGCATAATAGGCTTAAATACGTGTCATCTTATGAAAGTAAAGTAATGAGAGATCTATACCGTATCCTGAAAATCATGTATGTTATAAAATATGTTTTTGGAAGGGATATTTTTAATTTAATTTCTAAAACCTGTTAATGATAAATCGTACACATCCCATGCGCCAAATTCTTATGTTACAATGGTTGCTTCTGTAACAATGATGAAAAACTTTATATATTCTTAAACACCTATGCAGTAAAATTTTAGTCACAAAAAATATGTTTCATTTTTCATTTTGTCGCATTTATATGGTTATTTGTGACTACATTGTAGTATATTAACCAAATCTTTAAGCCCATGATTCCAAATAATTACATAAAATGTCTAAATGACAAGTCCAAAAGAAACGGGGGGAAAATTGTAAACACTCTTATGTCTGAACCTTCAATAGTGTATGTTATGCCAGAGGAAAAATGATATACCTGAAGTTTGTTACGCCGCTATAAACTTCATACATCATAAGATATTTGAAAATTTTCGAAGGTCTGAAAAAAAAACTAAATATGTACCATATTGCCTTGTTTTTATTGAAACGCCGTCAAAATAACCCGAGGTAATACATCCCGAATAAAATAGCTTCAGAGAAAATAACTTGATGATGAAACAGAGATTGACACGCTACAATGATTTTTTTTTTAAACCGTTTTAATAACTTGTGTCTTAAAAATTACCTGTATAATATCGGGCGAGCAATATAATTTGTAACTGAGTCATCCTTAGAAAGGATTTAGCATGTCGGTCATTAAACCACACTGATAGATGTCGAAAAAGTAGATTTTTAATAAAATAAGTGTGAAGTTAACAAGGGAAATTAGGACAAGATTAATTGTAAATAGGTAAATAAAAATTACAATAAATACTTAAAATATTGCCCATTTTGTCAAGGCATAAAATGAGCTCTTTGTTTAACTCTATCGGTCACATACCTCAACATCTCTGCATTATTGTTCATATCGTTATTATTATTTTTTTATTATCTTCAACCTTAATCCCCCTCCAATTGTTGACAGGTGGTCGATAAATACTATTCTTTAGGGCTACAAAAAAGACAAAATAAAATCACGTAAAATCTCGGAAGACAAATAAACATTCTCTGTATTTCGACTAATGATCCGGTTGTCAAAAAAATCCCGTAACATTGCTAGTGTGGTTCTAGCCGAATGCGCTGTAGGCCCATCTTGTTGAAAATAACCTACTTCCAATTCATTATCACGGTAATAAAACCTGCCAAAATTTCGTGTTGATATCTAGCAGCGCGTAGGCTACCTCAAAGAGCATTATATTGAATAAACCAGTTAATAACATTAGTATTATTGTCATGAACCTATTCGTCTCCGACTAATACAATCCAAACAGCAGTGTTATGAAAATGTACGAGAGTATATGGATTTTCGGTTCTCCATATTCTCATATTTTTAGAAGTAAGGCAGCTATTCAAATGAAATCATGCTTCATCTGTAAAAAAGTTTTTCCCAACAAACGGTAAGCAAATGTGTCCAAAAACCACTGACAATAATAGTCAACCCTAGCTGGAGAATCGGCTTCATGTAATTTGTGCACATATGTTACTCGATAAGGAAACACTGCTAAATCTTTTCGCAATTTTGCTCAGCAAGTCCTAACGATAATTCCATTTGCTGAACTTGCATGTCATATAGATGTTGTAGAGGCTTATTCCATTACCTGTCTAACGTTTCCAACCCCCATTTCCCTCCTTTCTTTGTAAAGGCGAGGTTTCTCGGAACTTTATCACACGTCGTTGTAATGCGTTATAACAATGAGCTTAATCGAGAATGTTATTGGAAAAATTTTCTCGGAATTCATAACAAGCCGCTTGAATCGAGTACTCCGACACACCGTTTAATTTCTGTCCATTTCTAAAATACAGCCCAATCATAAACGCTTTCTGCTGCAAGCTCCAATGTAAATGCCATTTTTTGAATAAATGCTCGCAAACACAAATCCATCGGCCAACTCCGTACTTTTATTTTGTTTGAATCAATATACTTCCTTCGCATATGCGTAGGAAGTCAAAATATTCAAAAAGTAGAAACGAAGGAAATGTCTCGATATGATAAGAAGATAAGAATAACAGTAATCTTTACTTCTAGAGCCCAAACTAAGGAAGTATAGTAATCGAGTCCATCAGGGGACTTTCCAGTTTCATGTTTTCTCGCCGTTTCAAGAGTACCAAAAAAGGTCTCCCATTTCGATCTGTCTGTCGTCTGACTGTTCGTCAGTCTGTCTGCCTGTGTCGATTTTTATTAGACAGATAGGTAATTTCCGAACTACTGGACCGATTGTCAAATTTTGTACGTGTATTTGGAATATCATGTAGCTAGTAAAACGCTACCCAAATTTAGCTAATCATCCCCACCAACAATTTGATTACGTAAAATATTAGACTCTATCTTTGGAAAAAAAATCAATGCATTCATAGTTTTTAGAATTACTTATACAAGGTGACTCAAAAAAAAATCACAAAATTTTGTAATGGAAAAACTCAAACAAACGCTTAGCAGGCGTCTTTACATTTACTGTAACATTACGTACATATTTTACTTTAACTTGCAAGGGTTATCAGAAAAAATAAAATTCTCAAAATCAATCGAACTGGCTGTCTGAACTGAAGTCGTGTTTATACGCCTCGCCGTTTTAATCGTGATCGGATCATTACAACTACCTACCAATCGGGCGTAACCTCTATTTAATTGTAATTTACAACAACTCGAATGCATAAGGTTAAAATTAACAATATAACAATATAATGTAGGTATTATCAAACAAAAGATAAAGACGTATGTTACAATCAATCCAGTTATTTCGGACATTATCCGTCTAATAGCATGACCTGAGCAGTCCTACGGGCAGGTACGACAGACGCGGAATGGGAGGACGATCTTCGTTAAAGGAACCGTACCACACACAGAAGTTGTTTTCCTGTTCTCTTCTATTACTTACTACAAGTATGTGTCTTGGAATCTCACTATCTTAGTATCCGTTACCGTTAAAGAGCAGAACATCACGTGAGAGCTATAATACTCAGTGCAACTACCAAAAATTGTTACATACTTATCACAAAACTAAAGAGGTTTCTGAAAAAGAATGAATTGTTTTATACTAAAATAGATGTAAATAGCTAATTATACCTAGACTTATACTTGTTATAACAACCTATAATGACATTTTTTTTTGTGTAATAAACAGGTGTCCATTAAAGATTAAAATATTAAGCATTCAATTCTGAAAATGATCTCTCAACCTCGCAACTAGTGACAAAAGCACATTATTTAAAAACATTTATAATATTTATCAAAATTAAATAGTTGTGGAGCTATTACGGTCGTACTTTTTTGTAAAAATAAGATTTCATTCGATATAGATAAAGGGACCGACATTTTTGTAGATACAGGATATAACCCTACAAGCTGTGAAATTTTGAAATGTCGAAAAAACATTAAATCAAACATTCATCAAAATGACTCTTTTACAATACCTCTTTAATTTGCGCTTAAAAACTAAAGAAAAATTATATGATAGGATAAGATAGTGTTTATGTTTAACAAATATTCTTTTAATATACTTATACAGTGTCTTTTTTAACGGTGGCCGTAGGGATTTAGGTGCTAAATGAATTTTATAGTAAGAATTTTCAAATGAAATTTGGCAGAATATTAGATTAGTATTTTTTAAATCAGTTTCAGTTCATTTTATTCTACAGAACAAAATAATTACAGAGTTATAATAAAATTTAGCTTACCTCGAGTAGCAAAAAGTACATTAAATTCCTTACGTATCGCTTGCCCAAGAGGCCATGACCGAGTGTGAATTTGTGGGGAATTTAATACATTTATTTTTGTTATAATTTCGTACGTATTTTGTTCTGTACGACAAAATGAACTGAAACTGATTTATAAAATACTAATCTAATTTTCTGTGAAATTTCACTTGAAAATCCCTGCTAGAAGACTAAAATTTTAGCACGTAAATCCCTATGGCCAGCGTTAAAAAGGCACTGTATTTTAGGATGTACAGAAGAGGGTTTTTTCTCAAATTTAAAATAAAATGAAGAACACTTGGAAGTTTTCTGTTAATATCTCAGCCATAAATCATTTCATTTCTTGCACCTAACTTGACCAAAAAAATATAGAATAAATCTTAATTGCAAAATACACAAAATAGAGGTGGGAAAAATTCGAAATTTATTTTAATATCAAATAAAACAACACTAATCGACCACTTAAATTTTTTACCAACTAGAAAATACACAAATCATTGACGCACCGCTGTTATTTCTAGCTACGTATGGCCGCATTAAACGAAGCATACACCGGAGACGTTCACGGAGTACGTGGAGCAGATTATTCATGTTATCGAGAAGCTCGACGTTCGGGTTTGCGTGGAACCTTTAGAGCTTTTCTGTCCTCGCGCGTTCAAAACGTCGATTCCATTGTTAGACTGGCAGATCGCAAGCTGCCTGTATCTAATCTCAGAGGTGAAGTACTTTTCAACTCCTGGTCTGAAATGTTCAAAGGAGACGGATCTCCTTTCCCGCATCCGCCACGCATTTACTCTTTTAATGGGAAGAATGTATTAACTGATCTTTCTTGGCCTCACAAAGCGGTATGGCATGGAGCTCTGGTGAATGGTGAAAGGGCTTTGGATACATCATGTGATGCTTGGCACTCGGCGTCACGCGACAAAGTGGGTCTGGCTGGTTCACTCAAAGGTTCAAAACTGCTGGAACAGAGCCACTATAGCTGTGACAAGAAACTCATCCTTCTGTGCATTGAAGCAACTAGCGAACTGTTTGTCCAAAGAAAACGAAGAGATGTAGATAACAGGTAATTTAGTAATAACTAATAAATCGCCAACGTTTTCGGATCAGTGAATACACATGATGCTATAAAAACTCCTCTTAAATGGAATTTGGTTTCAGTAACGACGAGATATTGAACGAGGACGATTATCACACTCTACTAAACCTCATCTACTGAAAAATTTTGTGATTGGTCTACGACCGTCCCATCCATTGGCAAACATCGATAATTCCGTGTCATGTCAGACAGTTTAATAATTAAGAATACTTAAGCATTGTATATGATAAGGAATACTTGCGTAACCATAAGTAGTTGTATTTTGTTACTTTGAAATGTAGCTTTTTTATTTCATCTAATTGTGTAGAATTTATACATTTACTCTTGAAAACGAAAGTAGAATTTAACAGGAAACTTTGTTCCTTTTAAATCCTAGTAGAAATTTCTTAATATTACAATTTTTCTGCGACCGCTGAATTTAGCTTTCTTCTAAATGTATAGATGATTTCTTCTAACATATCATGTTCTTAATTTATAAACATTAGGTGTTATGTTTTAATGGACTGATTGTAAATAATGTGAGTTGCAAATGTTTTTGGTGTAAATGTTACTAAATAGTATTGGATGCCATGTATTTGTAATAAATTATTTATAAATGTCCCACATAGAACGCATAAATCCTTATTTTAATATAATAAAAAATACCGCCATTTTAACAGTAAACGATAAGATGCATACATACCTACTATACAAATATAAGCAAGTGTTTTGCCTACTTGATTGCAGCAAAGAATGAAGTAAACTCATATTCTCACTTTAGTTTTTAAATACGGCATACAGTAAAAATCGCAGTTAAAACTTTGTAGCACATTTGATCTAAATCCCCTTAAGATCTATGGAGTACAGTGTATACAAAGTGGTGGTAGCTGTTCAACACTTCACCACCACCATTTATTTTCTCTAGATTTTTTTATTGTTGTACTTCATATAAAGCCACTGTATGATGTGCCGTTTTACGTTATAGCTACTAAACTAAACAAAGGTGAGTAACTAAACCGTAAAATTTTCTAATAAAATGGGTAAACACTTCGCAATAAAAACATATACCTTCCTATAAAATCTAACATATACTCACCGGAAAAAAACCGGCCACCCTGAAATATTTCGCAAAACTATTTTAAAAAGCATAAGTTGTACTAGTGATTATTTTATTAAAGAACCATTCACACAGGATGTACAAATTAGTTAAAAAAAAGAGAAACGTAAAGATAGAATTAAATTTAATGTAAGAAAGTAACGGAAACAGTGGAATATTTCAGAGTAGCCGGTTTTTTTTCCGGTCAGTGTACCTATAATTCTGTTTTCTTGATGTATCAAATTTTTGTAGATATACTAATTTACATATCAGTAAAAATTAAGAATAAACATGAAATATAAAATTATTACCTACGTCTACACTGATAGATATAAATTAAAAATTGTAGAGTTTCTGAAGCGTAGCTGGATGCTCCCTGTAATAATAGCTAATTTTAGCAGTGGAAGCAAAAAGCAGTAAAGTAAAAAGAGAAGTAGGTTTGTGTTGACTGTTAAAATTACACAACTCATTCTAAATAACAACGTGCAGCGAATTCCTGGAACGAAGAAAATAACACTCCGGAGGCGTTGTTGTGTTGTGTTATGGAAAACTGACGAGTTTCTCCAAAACAATTTTTTTAATTTATTAATTTCAACCCGAATGTTGCATGTACTACATTTCTTATCTTTAAAGTAAACAGTCTAACCCCTGTCTACGAGTATATGGAAAACTAAAGGTCTTGTTCATCATATTAAAAAAAAAATAAAAAACGTTATGAAAGATTACGTTCACGACTGCTCATCCCCACCAACAATGATAAGACGCCATCTCCAACTTTTACAATAGTAAATGTTATTTAAATTTTATAAAACAACATACTCCTCCACTTGTAGTTTATGAATTCGTGTGCAAGAACTTATAAATCTTGTTCACCTCAAAATGTAGCTGTGTAATTTGATGTAAGCGACTGTTATGTCACCCATTATTCTGTTTAATTCAAAGTTATTTAAGCAGAACTTCCCTCGCCTCTTAAGTGCAATGAAACTTGTAAAGAGTTTTTTAAGTAGGTAGTTTTAGAAGTGCAGCCCTCTGAAAACCGACCGCCGTAAGTACCGTTTTGGGTTTTTTTCTGCCTGTCTGCGTACCGGGTTTGATTCGCCGCCCCCGAGCGAAAAACCGTACCACCATCATCGTTTTTTTTTGTCGTCGCCGTCAAAAGTCGGAACCGTCGAACACACGTCGTCTTCCACCACGGCGCTCCTCCCCCGGGTCGCTGTACAGTCCCCGCGCGATTTTCCGTTGGTTGCCGCCCCCATGTCCAGGAGGAGCCCGTCCTGAAGGAAATCGGCGTCCAGGAGGGAACGACCGTGCCGAAGGTTTTATTCGTAATGTGCCATTTTGTTATACCGGCTTGAAGTTTTATTATTTAAGAATTAGCCGTAAGATTATTATTTTAGCCGTGTAGCTGATGGCAGGGAATAAACCCGATTTATTGTGTAACAATGTTTCTTTCCATTTTTCGGGGCATTGCCTTTTATATATAAAGATTACATTTATGGTGTGATAACCCAACTTTCCCTTCTTTAACTGACATTGAAAAAGTTTGAAAGGCCCGCGAAAAATTCAAAAATTCAAAATTTGGCCTTGGCTGTAATCGTTTAACAAAATGGAAACCTATGTTGTGTTTTTTTTTAAACATGGCGGAAAGACGTTCTTTCATACAAGTGGGCATACACTGCGTGTGATTCGAGAGCGCAAGAAATAATAGACAAAATTGTTTTGGAGGGGCTAAAGTGGCACCCCTCTCAGGAGGAAAGAAGCTGCGAGTATTCACTCCTCAGCCCCAAAACCCCCTATCGTATATTCACGGACATATTACATTTCAAAGGAAACACCTTAAAAATATGAAAGAAAAGACACTCGCGAATTGACAGACATGCACATACGAAAACCAAACAAGTACAAAAACCATACGTTTTATGTTTTGAATCAATGCAAATATTGAACATCACAAATTTAATAAAAACAAAGCAAAATCTGAATTAAAGTAACTGAATGCAAATACACAAGTTATTACAGGCGTGTGGCGTCAAATTTTAGAGTTACGGCAGTTAAAAGGGGCACAACAAAAATACCCCTGGGGCATTTTAGCACAAGCGGAGTTTGGGGCTACCGGTTGGGGCTGTTCTCCCCCCTCGACGGTGATTCTATCTATCGCAAAGCCTACCCAAACAGCACATTTCACGTCTCTAGGACGAACATGCCGTCCGAAACTAGGCCGTTACGGTCTACACTAGGCTAAGGACAGAAGCCGAGAACATTACAACATCGGCGGCCGCCCCTGAATCTATCCAAATCTGCGGACTTGTGCAGGTGAAGCAATGAATCTCGCCAGCTCGACTAGGAACCGCACTTCGCTTCTGCCACGTTTTCAGTGTTATTAAACCTCAATTCCATTTTAAATGTTCAATCTCTATGACTCTGATATTAACAACAACTGAACAAGTTTTAAAGTTTCAAAAAAATAATAAACAACATTTAAATTCGCCATACAATCTTGTGAGCTTTTAAACAACAAATAATTCTTATGTGAGATTAAAATTGGACATCAAATAATTTATACGATGGAAACATTCATCAACAAAATATTTACAAACAAAACTTAGCAAAGATTTATGAAACAAAAGATCTGGTGTGAAATAAATTTGTGCAAATAAAAATATTATGTGAGGTGAAAACTGCAAAGCATGGCAATTTACGTTCAATTAAAATTATACAACAAAGAAAATTACTGAAGCTAAAATTGTGAGATAAAGAAAAATTGTATAAGTTGAAAATTTGCAAAGTTAACAAAATTTATTTGAGATTAATACTTGCCACACTTTATCAACGATTCAAACAAAGAGTTTATATTATGTCAAATTATATCATGATCTAAGTGATTGGTTAATTGAAAAAAAGCAATTTACTTTGAGAGTTTAGAATACCGCGAACTGGTACACATAATAAACAAACACAAAAATATCCGATCATCGTTGCGAGAAAAAAGCGTCTCGTTGATGTAATTTTATTGTTGCAAGGGAATACATCGATGATGTATACTTTAGCGTTGTTGATGTTATCAATCACTAGCGTTGCTAGGACATGCCTCGATGAAGTAATGAATCTGTAGCGTTGTGAGGACAAGCCGCGATGATGTAGTCAATCTTTAGCATTGCGAGGACAAGCCTCGATGATGTTAGCAAGCTTTAGCGTTGCGAGGACAAGCCTCGAAGATGTAATCAATATAACGATGATAATAACCATGATAACCGCCTAAGGGAAGAAATTATTTTAACCCCCCGCCAGTTCGCAGTATGAATTTTGTTAATTTAACTGCCGTAAATGAACTATTCGCAATCTTGTGTGAGGAATTAAGAAGTGTTATAACGTAACACTTATGTATATGCATCCAGAAACCTATTCCTAATTAAACAACAAAGGTGTTTTCCTGACTAAATGAATTTTATGAAATCTTCTAGCAAGTGGTTTATTTTTAATCCTGATTGTTAAATTGTGTTAGCACTAGCTGACGATTAAGAAAAACTAACTTGATTGGTGAATTTACAAACAATAAAACAAATTTACAGCACGTGTTCCGCATTGAAAGATCGCAAGTTTTTTTATTAAAAGCCGCAAGAATTAGCCGCGTGGGTTGGGGAAAACTGTATCGTCATAGAAGTTACGATAAAAGGCTTCCTCCCTTTTATTAACTACCAAACCAACTAATTTAAACTAGCTCTTACCAAGTAACCCTCTAACTAAAATCCCCAGCGCTACTAATTGTCCAACTATCCAGTAACCGTTACCGTGCACCTGCTTGCCTATGTTTAACGATTTTTTTTGATGAATTTTTTTTCTTTCTCAAATTCAAATTATTCAAATGTGATTTCACGCCGCTGTTAATTAATTTCAGCGCGAAAATTTTGATTTAAATTCGGTCACCACAATGGTAGGGGCATTTTGCTCATTTATATGCCGCAAGAGTGCAATAGAAGTATTTAACTCTGTTTCCAGATATCTTTAAACACTTTAGCTATCTCAAACGTATATGTAAATTGAAGATGTCTTCATCGAGGATTTGTCAAATGGACGAGACAATATTAGAAGACGCCCTAATATGTTTACCTTTTGCGGAATATTAAAGGAATTGCAAGAGGGATTTTTTATTTTGATTTGCGGGACAGGTCAAAGTATTCGAAAAATAAATAAGAACCTTTTGGCAAAGCAACCGGTGATAACAAGCAATATTAAAAAATACAAAGAAGTTCTTATTTATCTTTCCACTTTTGTTAAAAAAGTTTCGACGCAGAATATAAAAATATTTAAACTGTAGGCATCAAATTATATAGGTATACGAAGCCAAGCATGTTTTTTGCAGAAATTTTAAATGTTGTTCTAATAAATGAATCTGTTTTTATATAAAAATTTTGTTTTCTTTAAGGAAGAAAAACACCATGCTTAGAAATTATAAAAAAGCCTGAGTATGCTCCAACAAAATTTTACCTCTCTCATTCACATACAGTAAAAAGTGCGCAACTGGTATAAGTCCTTGTTCACTCGGAGTTTAAATCCTGATTCTTAGTTCCTAATAATAATTAATAGCAGTTTTCTGGTAATTTTGATATTTCAAATGTAGCCAGTATTAAACTATTGAGTATAGGACATAGGACAATATTTTAAAAGTAGGTACATATCTTTTCTTAGTCACCATCATTTTAAATAATCGCCAGTTGTTAATATAATAATTTCAGTATCAAACATGATTATTGAAAGGAGGCACACATCAGTATTAGTTTTAAATCAATTTGAGGTAAAATTTTAAAATATTCGTTGCTTATGACACAAAATAAACATTAAAAACGAATGTGCAACAATAAAATTTTTGTTCCGGTTGTGTCTACACACTGAAATATTTGAACAAGGTGAATGACCGCAACAAGTAAATGTAACTACACGTACACAAAGCAAAATCGCAAAACGGGAACATTATTAACGTACAGTGACTCACTTTATTAAAACAAAAATATAGCAACAGCAAACACCTGTTAAATTAAAAATAAATGGTTCACAATGACATTACAAATGAGTAATCTGCAAAGGAGTGATGGCAGCTGTAATAATAATAATACTCAATTTATTGCAAAAAAAACAACCAAAATTATTGTTTCTTTCTTTCCTCACCTCTTCTGGGTCCCCGCAAGGTTGATGGTTCATGCGCAATCCTGCTAGACAATCAGCTGACTGCGCAGAATAACTCCGCAGTCGGAAAAGTGAGTGGCAAAGTATTTTGTGTATGTTTACATCAGCTGTTTGGCTGAAACAACTGAAAAATAATGCCTTTTATATCAAAAGACTGGCGCTCACCAGGAGAAGCCTGGGTGAAAACAGAAGAAGGCTGGGAAAAGAAAAAAGTTTTAGAAAACCGCAAAACAATCAAGTAAGTTCTCAGTTGGTTAAATTCATTGCACGGATCGATCCATTTCTACAATGTTGTTTCTTTGTTCTCGCTTTCGCCACTTTCTCAACAATAACGTTAACGCGGTAGCAACAAGATGCTCAATCTTGTCTTTGCCTATTTTTGTCGTTGAAAACATAATATGATTTCTTATTTTAGGAGAGATTTTCATGTTTGCCGTCTGACACATTCGAACTGCATTTATTATTATTTAGATTGCAATCTTTTGTTTGTAATTTTCATAATCGTAATAATTTGTAGTACATATTTAGAAATTATAAAAAGGTATTTTTTGAATGAAACATTTTTAAAACCGCATTTATTTTTGTATTATTGATTCCCATTACAGCAATCCATACGTGACTATCGAAATGAATGTAGACATAATCCTGCCATGCGAAGTATTTGCCATAAATTCCTTTATTCCACTAACAAAGAAAAATTTAAATGTACGAAATGACAGTATTTGTAGTGCCATATTTGAACTATAAATAATAGTGATACTTACTGGAAATATCGCAGATGTAGTGCAACAAATTTGTAGTTCTGAGATATGTCCAAACAACCCGTAGAAAATTATTCAAATTTTTGTAAACATTTCAGTTAACAATGACAATAACAAAATATTAAAACCGAAGTGATATTCATCATAAAAGTAAAAATTCAAAAATTAAAAGGCTCTAAAATTCGTTGCTTACAGCTTGGAATTTCCAAAATGGCAGGATGAACATGTGCGTAAATGTGAAATATACTGCAATTGGCGAAACTATTTTTTTTTTGTTCTATGTGCGACTGTTGGACATAAATCCTCGTAATTTGGGAACATATAAAAAGAATAACAAATTTTTAAACGTCTTTGAGATTTTTAGTCGATTTCCGAAATCATAACACCAAAGGTATATTTATTTTTGGACAATAACTAATGTTGTAAGTTATAACTACTTATTAGCTAGTTGGATCATCGTAATCTAAACATGTTTTCACCCTTCTACAATAACGTTCAAATAAATTATTGTCTCTGATAGATTTTGAGTATGTACTGTAAACTGATCGCCTTGCAAAATTCTACGGTAAACCATATAATTAAATTATCGGAGCGATAATTGATTTGTAAAGACAAAGTGACATTATGGATGATTGATATCGTATTATATACCAAAGGACTGAAGTGCATCATTTAATTCCGAAGGCGAAAGATTACAGTAAACTCATTTGAGTTGTACCCTAATAAAATTTTATGGCGGATAATGACGTGGACGAATATCGGTACGTTAACAATTGAAGAAAGATTTACAGCGGAAAAAGACTCATGTCTGCTGTATGCAGGACTGCCGTATTATCTCTGCACCAAATGGGCATTGACACAATCCGATTGCGGTTCGGTAGTCGAAATTTTTTGATGGATTAGTGCAATAAAATTTTACTAGGGTACAACTCAAACGAGTTTGCTTTTTGCCCGAGCCGAGGGCGAAGCAAATAATCTCCCGATGGATTAAATAATACTCTAGTTCTGTGGTATATATACGAGTTTTCGCCTTCCCGGTTAAATTAAATCCAAAATTGTAAAAATAAATTCGAATGTCACTTTCACAGCAGAAATTAACTAAAATGTTTTATTTTTACTTCAGTTCCTTGAGATTAAATGAACCACTTCAGTCCTCCGAATGAGGGAATGAAACAGCAACTTCACTCCCGGGAGTACGAAATAGTTGTATATCAAGGCTATAAAGAATACATTTTTTGGCCGATCTAAAATTTGATGCCTCGGCCTACAAATCAGATAAGGCCGAAAAAATTCTCTGTGGCCGAGATACACACAACGTTTTTTAGGCGACCATATAGAAAAATAACTGGTAATGTAAGTGATTTTGGGGTTAGAAAATCTGTTTTCCGTTGTTGGGCGAAAGGTCGTGGAGATTTGGTTTGATTTCATAGCGACATTCGGTAAATGTGGGGTTGAAACAACGGCGCTTTTGGCTTTCTTATTTGAAAAAATGTTGGACAAAAACACAAAGCCAAGGATGCAAAAGTAAGGTGTCGATATCTGAGTACCAAAAAATGACAAACCATTCCAAAAAAGTGACATTTCATGGACGTGTGAGGGAACGTAAAACGACTAAATTTGTAATGGTTGCCTAAAATGGTTATTAATGAACCCTTAAAAAGTGTGAAATTGGTTAAAATTCGTTGCAACGGTCGATACGCTATCCACTTCGTGTGAACCGAGCGGATTCCTGCACCAACTGTATTATCATCTTTAATCATCTTGAAATGGATGGAGTGATTTTCGTCAAACATAGCAAAGAACCATACCGAAAGCGATTCATCCATTTAGGAGCTGCGTTGCCACAGACAGAATATGCCTTCAAAGTTGTAACACTTTCTACGTCGTTTTACTTAAGACATTAAAACAGTTAAATATGTATATAAAACGCATTTTTATAAAAATGCAGCATACGTTATAAAGCTACAAATAAATAGGTAATATTTGAAAAAAATTGTTCGGATCACATAAGCGAAATACGGCATCGAAACGCATGGCGGCACAATTTGATCCTTGCTTCCGGTAAAAGGCGCAATTGTGATGTAACGAAGTTTGAAATTTTACTGTGCATAAAAATAAATCAATATTCAAGGCATGCGAATTAGACTCAATTATATGTAATATAAAATTAAAATAGAAATGCCGCTTGACTTTATTACTAAAAAATATCAAAAAATTCCAAACTAACCACTTTCATTCTACAAATCTTGCAAGGAAATTACTGAAACAGGGTCCATCCGAGGAATGAGTACTTTGTTTTCTCGACGTTCTATGACCCCTAGTGTAGGAAAAATAGGTATCCTGTTATAGACGACAGACAGATTGTACACAACTTACCAAAATTTGGCGTCTAATCAGCCCCACCAACGTGATGACGTCACCTCAAAATTTTGCAGAGTAAGGGCCGGTTGCATAAACGCAAATCAAATTTAATCTCTGATTAACTCCATAGTAACGATTGTTATTATCATAGTTACAATTGTTCTTAATCAGAGATTAAATTTGATTTGCGTTTATGCAACCGGCCCTAAATGTTTTTTATGGTAATCATAGTAAATCGTTAATGTAAAAAATTGATTACGTCATCTCAAAATTTTGCGGCATAAATCCTATCTAAAATACGGAAAAGACCATGAGTCTCTTGAGTTGTTTATCAAATGTATTCATATGTGCTTTAGAATTGCTTATACAGGGTGACTAAAAAAAAAATGGATCAGTTACTTTATTTTATTGATCAAATCAACAAGGCCTCTCCCCATTTCCTCGATTTAACTTAGACGTTTTCGTAAGAATTGAATTCCCTATTGTACTCCCTAAGGGGCAGAATTTCCAAAAATTCTTTCTATAACAAAAGGAACCAACTCTCCAAATTTCAGTAGTTTAGGCGTTGCATTGATGAATTAGTCAGTTTGTCAGTCAGGATAAACATTTTTAGAAGTACCATCGCTGGACAAAAAAAACTGGGACACAATAGGTAACTAGATAATTTTGAAAATTCGAAATTTAAAACGTGTAAGTTGGGCTTTTCCTGCCAAAAATATTATTTATTAGGTTTGTGAAACATTTTCGCATATTTTCTTTATTGTTTTCAAGAAATTAGTCGAAAAGATAAAGGCGTAAACGAGAGCGTAAAATTAGGAACGTAACTTTATTCAAGAGAAAATAAAAAACTGGAATTATAACTAGAAACATTATACTGAAGATGCCAATTCAACTGATCAGTATTTTGTCATTGCATTTGCATCGATCACATTCTGTAGTCGACGAGGCATGGAAGCAACTAACTGCCTCATATATCCAGGTGTTACAGTTTCCCATGCCTCGACAATTTTTTCTTGTAATTCTAGTGGATTTCTAGGTCGAAAATCATTTTGATAAATATATTTTTGCATTTCTCCCCGAACATTTTCAATTACGTTTAAATCTGGGCTCCTAGAGGGCCAAGGCAAAACATTCACTCCCTGGGCTTCCAAATACCGACTTACCAGTCGGGCATTATGAACTGGACAGTTATCCTGCAATGGGTTTTATAATTATTAAAAAAAAAAATGAAAAGAAGAGTAGCACAAACTTGTTGAAATATAAAGTTTCGTTCTCCAAAAACTGGTATTACTGAGGGGAGCATAAGTTCCTCTAGAAGCCTTCTGTATACATTAGCGTTTAATCTTTCTTCTACTATTGCGCAAATTCCACGTCCTCTGCTGCTAACCCACCCCCAAACATTAACGAAAAAGCGACCGGATTGTTTATATTTATTGCAATAGCGTTCATCATATCTCGTTCCTGGGGGTCTATAGACACGACGACGCCCATTACTATATGATTTGAAAGTTTTTTCGTCGGAAAATATCACATTATTCCACATATCTGCAGGTTCATTGACAAATTCCTGAGCAAATAATACCCTATTTGCCTTGTTTTGCTCAGTTAAAAATATTTTATTGGCAGCAGCCCGATTTCTTAATTCAGTTTCGTGGACTCTCTTCCGGGCTGTTTTCAATGATGCAGAGAAATTCGTTTGCTGCCTTGCGTTAACCACTGTTTCGAAAGGATATTCTCCAATGAAATTTGCCAATTGAATGTTTTCGTCTGCAGTCGTTTTTTTTGGACGACCCGACCCCGCTCGTCTGATAATTCTACCATATTCATTAATTTTTTTTTCGCCAGTAGGACAGTATTCTTGCTAATATGCAGCTCAGTTGCTATTGTTCTAATTGAGACCCCATCCCTTAAACGTTGCGCAATAGTTTGCTTTTGAACTTCATTCAAACTTGGCATTTTTGAATTGGCACTTGACATTAATCAAGGTGACATTTTTTAAATTTCATTTTGAATTACATTTTAAAGAGCTGTTTACAATGTAAAAATTTTCAGTGTCCCAGTTTTTTATTTCCACCGATGGTACATATATTAAAATTATATATGTTACAGAGTATGCTGGAAATGCAGTGAATGCTAAAAATTACTAAATCAATCAGTGGATGTCGATGCTCCGATAATATGAATAGCTTTGACTTTGAAGAAAATGTAACATTTACTCAATCTCTCTAGGGAAAGTTGACTGGTATCTAGAGATTGTGGTTTCACGAGGTAAAAATTAAATAACATAAAAATATGACAAAAAATACAACTTTAATTACAGTACATTACCAAAAAGGTAAAAAACAAACATAAACATTTTATTTGTGATAAATATATGACAAAAAACATACATAAGTTCCTATAAAGGTAAAGATGTCGATCAAGTTATCCACAACTTCTGCTTTTTTTTATTTTAAGACTTTGTTAAATGGTCTTAATAAACCACAATGAATTGGTTGCATGGGATGGATAATCTATGAAATCAACTTGAGCTCAACAATTCAAGTAGGTATTTAAACAATAATGGTATTACTTCCATGCCTTTCCTTTATCTCTTATATTTTTGCAAATATGGTTCACATACTAATAAATACATGTTCACATCTTTGTATGCAACTTTTTTTTTCATGTGAAAAAAACCAATTTATTAAAGGACGCGTACGTAACAGTTTTGTAAAAAATTTAATGTAATTGGAAATTTCAAATTAAGCTCGTAAAGCATATGAATAAGACTCGTTACAATACAAAAGGCACTAAAGGTATATATTTACCAAATCTAATGTTAATATGTAGGTATATTTTCGGAGGCTTCCACGGTCGGAATCAATACATCAGTGGCGGCTCGTGAAGTTTTCTTCAGAGGAGGCTCAAATTTGAAAAGCACTACTTTTTATATCTTTCATTATCTGAATATTTTTTTTGTCATGCCCACGAAAAGAACACTCGTGCGTTGATAGATAAATAAACTTTTGCATCGATTAGTCTTTTCAAAATTGCCCAATTTTCACCAACTTTCTCGTAATAGTTCTCCCTTTTATGAGCCGAATCTAAATGATTGGCATTGTTTTGTTTACAAGCATTTCTAATTTAATCGAAGAAAATATGTGGTCCTATGATTTTTCATGCCTTTCTATAGCTCGTGACAAATTTTGTAAATTATTTTAGCCTGTTTTACCCCAAACGGAAGATTTATCACTTATAAATAATACACAATTCCAACAGTATAATTTGTTTCTTAAAACCGAAGCCGTAAACTATTTAGTTTTATTATAATTATTTTCATGAAATGCTCTGTTTTATTTCTAATTGTAACTGTCAATACAATTAATGGGAGTGATGGTGTTGGTCTCCCCTTTTGTACCCTTACCTACGTAAAGCCTAAACATCACCATCACTGAACAGGGAGCTCGCGAAACCACCTCAAAGTTTTTCCTACTTACACCCGATTGCGCCAACTAATAAGAAAGAGATAAAGTTATCTGTACGACTTGATCTGAAAAGAGATGAACTGGCCGGAGGCTAGCGGCTTGGAGCGGCAGTCCCATGAACGTTTTAGCCAATGCAATACAGACTGACGATGCGTCAAGGTCTACGGTCTCAATAGCAAGATGCATTCTCGGCGGAGGCTAGCGGCTAACAAGCCTCTGCCGCTGAAACCAAACGCGGAGTGGTGTGAATGTGAATTATGATTGTGAGGGCCTAAATATAAATTTTTGCGACATTTTAACCTGATATATGATGAAAGTAAATGAAATCCAGCAAAATATTCTGAAAAATAACAAATGTCTACAAAAATATAAATTCTTTCATCGAAAAAAATTAGAGGAAGCTCAGCTCAAAAAAACAGAGGAGGCTCAGCCTCCCCTGCCTCCTCTGAGGAGCCGCCACTGCAATACATGATCGTTTTCCGGGTTGGAACCGTGTTAATTGAATTTTTGGGCTCAACGTTTCGCACACTTTCGTAAGTGGCATCTTCAGGAGCAGGGTTAAGAATAAAGCAAAAGAGCACCGTATTATACGACGAAAGATATTTGCAAATGACTCCAATTATGGGAATTGCAGCTGTAGAATTTCCGACCACTGTCAATCAAGATTACTCGCCACCCTTACCTTTCCAGGACCGTATTTGTTTCAATACGTGAACAGTTAGATTGTTAAACGGACCGCTTTCAAGGAATTTAATCTTAAAATTTAAGGACACATGAAAGTGTGGTCCTTAAAACTTTTTAAATCTTTGCAAATACACATTTCCTAGAAAAATCCCAATAAAAATTAACTCTACCATGACTCATATATGAACGCTCTAAAATTTAAAGTCCGGCTCTGGCTGAAGTCGTACCTCCGTTGCGAAGCGTTCGTAATGGTTTTATTGCAGGTTGCGGTCCAAAGTGCCAAAGAACCCTCATAAAGTAATTGACGGCGTTTGCAATCATCTTTCGTGGTACTTTAACTCAGTATGTCAACCATACCAGAGGCGAAACTCTCAAAAGAGTTGGAAAGTATACTTCCAGGAAGGTTAGGTATAGTGCTGCAAATTCTGGTTCGTTTTTATGACTGCATCCTATTGTGAAGGAGTAAAGTGTTCCACGATAGGTCTCTGCCGCAAGTAATCCAGCGGTCATAAACCATCAAGTGACCAACTGTCTGCACTACACAGGGTCGTATGCGCCCGTAAACCTTTAAGATGATTTATGGCACCTCTATTTACATTTTCAATAGAGTTCATAATACTTACTTACGGTAATTGAGATTGCAGTGCTATAAAAACGTCAGAGTTGGACCACTATAGCCGCCTAGAAAGTGTACAATAGTTGCAGGTGCGCTACCTTTCTAACAAAAATGTACAGTTCAATCCATTGTAAGAGCAGGTAGCTCGGCTCCCTTTTTGGTTATAAAAGGTCCGTATTTTGTACAAACTTCATCTGCCAAAGTAAGTTCGGTCGATGTAAATAAATCAACCGAAATCAAGTGTTGTTTTTTATTCTCGCCACCCAACTTAGCGGAATCTCGGCGAATGAAAAGCACAAACAAGAGTTAACCCTGCTCCTGAAGATGCCACTTACAAAAGTGTGCGAAACGTTGAGCCCAAAAACTCAATTAACACGGTTCCAACCCGGAAAACGATCATGTGTAGGTATATTGCAAAAAATACAGAATTTGCAGATATGTAGCAACTGCAATAAGGAAAATTACTGCAAATATACATTTATTTATACAGTTTATTTACATATATTTAAAACTCTCGGATACAAGATCTAAAAAAACTTGTCATAAGTTTGCGAATGAGGTTAAATTACCACTACAGCCAAAAAATTTTAATCCACAGAAATCAAGAGCTTTTTCTTTCAACGTACGTCCTAAGTTTCCAAAAAAAATATCTTTTCGAAAATCCCTTCTCATGCTTTCAGTCATAGTATATAAAAACCGTTCATTCTGCTGTAAAATTAAATTGGTATTTGAGCACGTTCTTAGTTTTTAATTTTATCATCTCGATGACGGTGAAAAGCCTGCATACTATAAGGTCAGAACATAATTTTCGCAATATCTGCTTTGACTTTATATTGTCAGATGTTTTACGCTCCCAAGGTCTCTGCTTTTGAATATATCGGGTGTTGTGCATCTTCAAGATTTACTTAAAATTCGTGTGCAAAAATTTGCAAATTGCTATTTCGATGAAGAACACAATAAACGCAGTCAACATTCCCAAAAGAAAAATAATAAAAACTGATTGGATGTCGTGTAATGAAAAAGGTTTCTCACTTGCGCCATTTCTCAGCTTTTTAAACATTATATTTATAGTAATGCTATTAGCGATGTCATTATACCATTTATCCACTATTCCGCTTTCAAAAATATGCATTATTATTGAATTGAATTTCAGTACGTAGGGGGACCCACGTGGCACTATAAAAGACATGTAATAAGAAATAATAGAATGTTTTGAGATATGTAATCGGGGATCTCCTTGTTCGGTCATATAAACAAGAATAAACAGTTTGGCGTCCTTTCTTCGATCTAAAGCTACCACATTCCTTTCCAGCGCTGCTTGCCTCATAGAAATGCGATATTTGTGCACAATTTTATCGTATAAACTTTTTATTAGTCGTGAATTGTTATAATTATTAAAAACGTTTAACGATGTCGAAATGTACAAATTAGAGTTGTCCAGTTCTTCTAACGTATTAATATCAGCATAATAAGAAGTACTACTAAATGATTTAACTAAATTTCCTTGAAATATCCAAATTATAATTGCATTGAAGATCATACAGGATGCTAAGAAAGTATTTTTTCCTTTAAGATGATGCATTTTAATTGGTGCTGACACGAGAATTAAAAATACATCTATAAAGTCATATTTGTATTGAGTTCGTTTTTTACGAGTTTTGCAGTGATGAATCAAAAACCAAAATATTACGGAAAGTCCACACGTACACATTAAAAGTATCCATGTTGTCCAGTGAAAGCATTTAAATATTGCGAAACCATGTGGTATTTTCTCCGCTTTCGGGGCAACTACACATATTTCGTCATAAAAATAAACGTGTGTATATTCATAGCTATAAGTTTGTTGATCAGTGAGAAACATACCATTTGCAACTAAATCAATGAGATCATACACGATATACCCCAGTGAACCTGTTATCCAACCTTGTTCCAGAATTTTTCCAAAATTCCGTTGTTGTTTGTAGACTGTGAAAATGCTGAAATTCATCTGTTTTGCAAGTTCACCTAAGACATTGCCATCTACTCCTGTGAAACCGCTGTATCTGTACAGATTGTTGTAAATCGAGTTGTCTTCCATATTTTTAGGCACTTCTTCTAATGCCGTCGGTAATCTAGCGAATATTTTTACTCGCAAGGGATATTCTTCTAAATTTTCCAAAAAATTTAAAATATTGCTTCCATTTGTGATATTAAATTGGTATGCATTGATTATTCCCCAAGCTGTTGCAGTTCTCTTAAATGGTCGATAAATATACACATCGTTCGATGTTGGTATGTATAGAAGTATATTTAAAATGTGAAATTTTCGCCATATTTTTACTAAAACTTCACTAATATCCGAATCAAAAATGCGTCGCTTAGTATTTACAACAAATATCGCGTGCAATGCACGACGATTTTTTTCAGACACGTTAAAGGACCCATTTAAATATGACACCAGATCATCAAAGCACCATGATATGATCACTTGACCATTTTCCACATCAGAAGAATATCTTCGGTTCAATGATAATTTTTGATCGTCGCTTTCATGGGATTTATTTTCAAATATTCTAATGATTGGTGGTCGTTCATTTTGGAACGTGAAATTGTAGTCTAAAACAAAAGTTTCATTCAAGAATTTCGTGAAATATGGATCCACTATTATATCCAAACTACTTAATTGCTTCAGTTCAGTTCTGATAAGAACATCATTTTCAAGTACGCCATGAATAAATCTGTTTGAAAATTCTACGACGAGTGCATTTGGATTAGTATTACTTAAAATTTGTACGTTTATTATCTTTGTTGACTTAAAGTAATCTCTATAAAAGTGGATAAAATCTGTAGTGAACCATGTAAATTCATTGTTTTGGTGCTTAGATAAGAAGCAACTTGAAGCATTTTGCAAACATACCAATAAAAATGGTAAAAATATACGCATCTCTTGAATCTAGGAATTATAACCAAGAATATAAAAATTATCTGTCCAGAAAAATGCTTTCGTTGTGTATTTAAAAAATGACGACATCTTGTAGGAGACAACATAAGTGGAACGTACATATAATTTAATATTTCCAGTACAAGTAAATTACAACCTCACCAACAGAAAACGTCAAACCTAATAGCAATGTTATAAGTGCAAACTGCATGTCGTATAGGGAAAAAGATTTCAATGTCATTGTATTTGCGTCCCGAAGAAATCATATCTTGAATAATATTTTATAAACAACTTCATATTGTTACCCATTTTCAATCATCCTCCTTATTACCTGATTAATCTAAATAAATAAGGTAACCTGTGTATACAATAAACCCTAAATGATATGTTATAGGACAATTCCGTAACAATGTGTAATACATACATAATTTCTTCATTCTTTCTCTCTAATGCTGTAGCATCTCTGTTCAGAGCTGTTCTTTCAATAGCAGAATCATTTTTACCGAATACTTACTTTGTGTTGAAGTCGCTGAAGTAGTAATGATTCTTCAGTGATAAAAATTAGTAGTGATGTCAGAATTTTGAAATTTTGATTCTGACAATTCCTTTAAAGTATTGAGATCAACATGGAACGATACACCCCTAAGATGGTACCAATGTTGCTAGGAAAATAAGGCCGAAGAAGTACCAAATTACCATTGACTAGCATTCACACGTTCCATTCAAAATTTTGAAACGTTTCCAACCAGTGGGGGATTTTTTCTGATTTTGGAGCGACCACACAAATTTAATCAATCCAGTAAGGTATTGGAAAGTCCACACGGTTAAATTCTTGCTCGGTGATAAATCTACCGTTTGATGCCAAATGCACAATACCTTTGGCAACGACTTCCAAGCTTCCCGTGATTGTGTCGTTAAAAATTTTGCCGTAGAATAAATAAATAATTCGGTAGATCATGCATTACTACCGTAAAATTAATAGTAAAATATTTCCATCTAAACCATTAACAGTTCCTACATTATTACTGGTGTTAAATGTACTATTTATCACCACTTACAATAGTCGGCTTTCTGCCAAACATGATTATATTCAAGTTTTGTCCGTTCATTTATAGACGGATATTTTTAATGTCAATTTTGATAGATAATTTTATCTGCAGAAAATGTATGAAGTATTATATTCCTGCATATCCATACATATTTTCTTTATGGGGTTGGTAAATATGGAAGTGGGGATTTTCATTGTTGCACATGATGATAATAACCACGTTTAAAATTTTATATTTTTCCCACATTTTTGCTAAAAATGTAACTTCTTTTACTAGGTATTTTAGTATTACCCGTTAATAAACATATCCCCTACTTCGCACTTTCGCTGAGAAAAATTTTGTGGTGGACATTATCAAAAAGAAATTGAACATATCGATTGAACGAATAATTATGTGATTTATCAATAGTAATATCTCAAGTGTATGTCAAACTGTCGCGCCCTCGAGAAAATTAGGAAAGAATTTGATTTGCATGAGCGGATATTTTGCAGACTATTTTCTCAAAATAAATAAATAGTAAAATATTTTACGCAAAAATTATGTTTTTTTATTAGTTACTCGATACGAAATATTTTGCACAGTGCGTAGATCCTTGAATGAACTCGTAGTTTAAAAATCATGTTTTTTATACCCGCACAGTGTGAGCGTGCAGCGAATTTTTATGGGCATATATTTAGGGGCTCATATTTATTTACTCTTGTAGAAAAATTAGTAAGTAAGCGGAAAAAACAATTTTAATTGGTATTTATATTGTACATTTAATTTCTAGACAAAATACTGCGGAAGAACCTTCGACGTATGCTAACAGCGAGACTGCTATACAACCCCATTGCCACATCACAATTAAATCCACTAAAGAAGTAAGATCTGAACTACATCTATCACTTTATGTATTGTAATTTCTTTGTAGATAGCGGGATTTAATGAACTAAACGAAGCAGTCAAAAAATTAGACTTTATGAGTGCTGTGAGAGACGTAAGGCGTTTTAATTACATTTGTGCTTTACTTGGACTACTCATTGGTCAACAAATGACAGCTTTATCGGGCTGTGCACAGAAAGTACTTTTAGCAATGCTGGAAGAAGTTGCCACTCAGGCTATCGCAAGTCAACATAATCCTAGAAACTTTCGTCAGTTGCTGAATAATCTGCGAGCTTTGAGTGCCGCAGAACGGTCGGCTTGCTGGGGTGGACTCTTGGGTTCACAGATGCTATGGAGTGAACACACTGCAAAAATAGAACGTATACTCAAAATGGCTGCTAACATGCAGATTTGCGAACTTCATCCAGATTCTAGACCTCAACTGTTGCAGTTACCTGAGGAATGCCTTCGTGAGATTATTTTGAGATTATCAGACCATAGAGATTTGACTGCTAGTGCCCAAGCCTGCGAACAAATGGCTTCTATAGTTGGGGAACAACGTGTTTGGAGAGAACTGACGAAATTCCATTTTTCACCTCAGCAAATAGATTTAGTTTTACCCAAGAACTGTGGAAAAGTCGACTGGAAAGAAATTTATCACTCGCTAAAAAAGTAATATATATGTATATTCTTAATTAAGCACTCATGTTTTGACTAATGTTTCAGATCTTTTGGAATAAGTGAAGATCGACAATATGCAGAAATGTTATCATTATGTCGATATTGTAGATGCCTCTTTTGGAGATCTCTAGGACATCCGTGTATAGCAGACCAGTGTCCAGAATTTCGTGCTAGACTTCAAGAAGCTGGTGGAATTACTCCACCTAGTCCTGTTCCACCCTCTGCTTTTCTGAAATTCTTTTCATTGTAGTAGCCTTCGTCCATATTTAATTTATTATGCTTCTGTTGCAATGTGATACATATTTTTGTGTAATTAGGGGCCGCTATCTGATGTAGATATACCGAATTTAAAGTATAACAAATTAATATTTTTACGTACTCATTTAAGAAGTGTGTAATTTTTCATGAAAAATATATGAAGTCGTATTTTGTTGATGCACATTGTTGATAAAGCTAACATACGTGGATGCTGCGATTATAATTTGGGGCTGTCATTATTATAGTCACTTTTTTTATTAATCCATAAATGAATGCGGAAGCACCGTGTGATATGATCGTTTTGATTTTGGTGTAAATGTGTAAATATTTTTTGTTAAAACAGCCTTAAATTAAAAGAAAAAGTACGTCTCAAGAAGAGCTTTCATGAAGTATACTTCAAGAAATATTTCCGTTGGTATTTCGTCCAAAACTGCTATTTTCTCTGGACTGAAAAAAATCTTAATATTAAGACTGTGAATAGAAATAAAAAGTGTGTCTGAATAAGGTGTTATAGGTCTAACTCTATGCTCTGATGTCTTAAGAACACTTAAATTATTATTAAACTTTTTATTAAATTGTTTCTGTCGTTTCCTGTTTTCAATCATGATTGTTCCAAATGTATATTTTACAACTCTGGTGTCATCCCAATGTGGTAAAAATTTGACTGCTGGACAAAAAAAAATGTGTTATTTATGATGGTTAGGTACCACCCTACCACCTGCTACTGGTTCCCAACTTTATGTTTAAAGTAACAGAATGTGAATGATATTTTAAATCACGTTACTAAAAAACATTGAATTTTTATTCATTGTATCAACACATTCAATGAGCATCACGGAATAAAACTTTTTAGTCTAAAACACATCGCTCCCTTACAGCTACTTTTAATCACCAAAATAATAACCTTTTAATTGAACTCAGGCCGTGTTGCATTTAATGTGGTTATCTATTCAAGCCGTTATCAGAAACTGCATTATTTTTGTCTATATGTATTATAAGAATTTTTTTTATAAGTCATTGGAAAGCACTTCAAATCGGAAAATAATTGTAAAAGAATTTGTCAAAACATTACAATAGCGGTAAAAAAGTAACATTGATTGTTACCCATAAAACCAAGAAATCTACGAACAACTTACGAGAACTTCAAAAAGAAGCATCCTACTTGTCCCAAACTAATTAAAATATACAAGTAGTAGATACATCGAAGGATTACATGAAGGTTAACTGTAACGGTAAATTGATAACGTCGTTGGAATAATTATAATGAGTTAATTAATTACAAATGCTTCGAATCTTCTATATAGAAATGAATTTATGTATCGAATTTAACCAACATTTAAAATTTCATGTCATCTGGACCTATAATAGAACTACTTTTTTTTACAAAATAAGTAACTTTTCAGTGAGAAGACCATAACATACTACAGTATTTATAAAAGACACCCGTTATAAATTGTTTTTACAAGTTCTACTAATATATTTTTCCGATACCTACTCGCGGTTTGTGTTTGTAACACTTATTAGTTTTTAAAGGTAGTAAGTTTAACATTGATGGCTGAAGACTTCCATTAATCACGCTACCAGTGGAAAACCTAATTAGCATAAGGCAGCTGATTTAACTTTTTGTACAATAATTAGCCTAACCTGCAGCATCTTGCACTTTCACAAATACAAATTAGTTTATCAATAATGTAAAGCAACCATCGTCTCAACCACCATGTTTATCCAAGGACATTACAATAACTTTTGACAAATATACACTTAAATCATTCTGATTTTAAAGGGCTCTTAGCAATTATGTTACAACAAACACGACTTATTCATATGTGTGGAATGCCGAAATGTAGTGCCGTTATACCCCTCCCTTCTTCAGTTAAATAAATTCTTGCTGAAATCACATATGTACTTACATATAGACTTCTCATAATTCATAAAAGCAACAAACAAATCTCGCACTTATTTAATACAAAATTATAACTGCTGTTATTAACTAAAGAAAGTAATTACACTAGAATATTTAGGGGATTAAAGTACAATCTCTACCTTTGGTGCATGCGATTTTCGATACATTTTCAAAATGCATCGAGTCCTTTAACAGACTTACTGTTATGCAATTTTAAATATAACCCGTCCACAACGTCCTCTATATACCTTAACATCAGTTTTTTTGAAAATTAGTGAATTTATTATCATCTTCTTTCTAGCATTTGGATGAAGTTTTCAATCACGTATCTTCCAAATTAATATCTCAATTATTTATGGAAATTTCGAAAAGCGGTTTCCACCACTGATTTCAACTTAAAAAACTCATAAGTAACCCAGGGCAGGATTACCGACTTTTTTGTCAGAAATGAAATACAGTAACAGGACGTTGAGTCGACGAAACCAGTTTGCTGCTTCTAATTAATTTATTGCAAGAAAATCGACAATCTTTCCAGGGTAACATATAAAGTTTTGTAAGCTGAAAATAGTGGCGAAAAACGCGTTCTAAAATTTCCATAAATAATTGAGGTATTGATTTTTAAAGATGCATGAAGAAAAACTTCACTGAAAAACCAAAAAGACGATAAGCTAATTAAACTAGAACAATAAACTGATCTGTTAGAAAGAGAAGTTGTGGACTGGTTGTTTAAAATTTCATAACAATAAGTATGTTAAGAGTTGTTACATTTTGAAGATGTATTGAAAATCCCATGTGCCAAATGCAATTTTGAGAATTTTCTAAAATAAAACACCATTTAAAATAAATCAACAAAATTTATAACATAGTAAATGTGTGCATATTAAATACCTTCACAATACTATATCACGTAATTAATAGATAAGGTTAATGTTCTATTTAACACAATTACTTCTCTAAAGGGGCATAATTCAACAACTTTTCAATAAGATCCACATGACCAAGAAGCATTCGTCTGCAGCAGTAGCGTTTTAATCCCAGGGCATCTAATGCGTCACCTTCTGTATATTCAGCTTGCAGGAGACCCAAGTAAGCTTCCCATTTATTTCCTATGACTTTTCCACACGTAAAACAACGAACGGGAATAATCATCTTCAACAAAATTCTACAAAAACAACATTAATATCTCCATAATTCAACATTAATCAACTCGACTTACCGTATACTATAGATATTTTACACCTTTATAGCAATAAGAACAGTGTTTATCTTTCGTTTAAACTTAAATTCCAATCACTACAACACCTCTCCATGTGCGTTTTTGCCGGCGACTGCCTCTTCTCAGTCTTCTCTTCGTACTTCGTTGGAAAATCAGAAGTTAGGTTGTGTCAAAATGTCAGTTATAAATTAAACCATAGTTGGCGAACCTGCGCATGAGTGGTGCCCTCTATACGTTTTCAAAAAAAAAACATTTACTGATATTATTAATTCACGTTTAAATATTTATAAAAACGAATTATTTTTGATAAAAAATTGTCCTCATATTTTTATTTAATAATATTTCAGTGCAAACATATAGAAATTCGAACCTCAAAAGAATACAGTAAATTGAAAGCGGAAGTTACAAATTTAAAACGCAGTACGCTTTTGACTAACCGAGTACGTACTTCCGGTGAGTAGTTACCGCTACTTTGCAAGCTAGCCGGCCATTATTTTGTTAGCGGCAAGCTGCGTGTCTGTTGTTAAAAGCTTGTGAGTGGATAGTATTCCCTCAAGAAAACGACAACAGTTCGGCAAAAACTTTTATCCGTATTTGCACGCCAATCTACAACCAGATTTTTCAAATATGGGTGACGAAAAAAAGGTAAACATGATTTTTCTATTCTAACCATAAACGCAGTTTTTTGTATAAATATTAAACTGATTCCAATTTGTTTCAAACAATCTAGAGCAATGAATCAGAACATATCAACTTAAAAGTATTGGGTCAAGATAATGCAGTAGTCCAATTTAAGATCAAAAAGCATACTCCTTTAAGGAAGCTGATGGGAGCGTACTGTGAACGAGCGGTGAGTATTTGCATATTATTTGTTTTGATTGTCGTGGTGCTCGTGCGAAATTACTAGTCATTTACAAATGCAGAATGATTCACGTCATATTGCTTGTTCAGTACAACATATACCAACTTTTTGATGTTCTGATGATTCAAATCCAATCACAATTCCATCAATTCTGATAATAAATACACAGCATGTATTCGTAGTTTCTTGTATGTATACATTACAAAACAAATTGTTTTAATTGCAGTGAACTGTTTTTCTTTTTTGAAGGTTCAAGGAATTTTTTTATTACAAAAATATAGATGTCAATGCAAGGAGTGCTATCATAAGAGAATCCATGTATGATAAAACAATCCATTGTATTATAATACCTTGATTTATGTTTGCACTTTTAACACACGTTTCGTTACTTACATAAAGACAAAACTTAGTTACATTCTACAAAGTTGTATTGGTATAATCTTAACCTCATTTTAACAATTTATAAATTGCTAATAAATTGTACTGATGGAATTCAAACATTTGTGAGGGTGTTGTATCTCAAAAGTTTAAAATTAGGTATAATACCAAGTATTGAAAAAGAAAGGCATCAAATTCGGTGCGTCGGAGTAATGAAAATAGAAGGAAACAACCCTCTGGTATCGTTAACCACATTTTCACAATAATAAGTAATTATTTCCTATATGTCAAAACCTTACGGAAAAATCAACTATGATATAATTTGAAAATTTGATACCTGACATTAAAACCGACATTGATAAATTGTTATATCATCTTTAATATAAATTACGTAAAGTACGGTATCTGTAATGAAAAAATAATAATCTTGTGGGTCTTGAATAGTGAACATTCAAGTGTGCACCATTAATTGCTTGACATTGCCAATTGTAAGTATATAAACACTTTGAATATTCTCGTTGAGTTGTTTCTTTAATTTTGTTGAAATGATGAAACTAAAACCAAATAAACAGTAAACAGTTTCAAAATTTTAATGTTCAAACGAAGCTTAACGCAAAAACAGGTGCCTTGAAATGAGAATATACATATATGTATACATTTTTTAGTACATAATTATAGCTGGATTTTTTACCTTTTCCATTACGTGAATATTTTATTTGCAAGCTACAACAATCACTATTTTTGTTCAAAACATATTGTACTACTTGCAAGGGGAAGTTTGTACGTCTGACCAAATAAAACATACGCAGCATGTAGTTACAAGTGCAAAGTAGTTGTTTAATTCATTCAATGCGCATAATTTACGTCATGGAGATGGTAAATGAATCCAACGATAATCTAAATTGTGCAAGATCAAGTGACCAACACATAAGATTCATTCTGCTTATACAGGGTCAGTCGTAACACTTTATGTTGGGAGGACGGTAGAATACGTTGTTTTCATTGCTGAGAATTCCTTGAATATCTCATTACAAGTGTTTCACGGTAATCATCAGAATGATAACAACATAAAAACATCGTCTGAATATCATTATAATAGGTTGCAACGTAACTGTTACCGCGTTGTATAATTTGAAGTAAAGACGTGCATAAATAGTAAACGGCATCGGTTTTTACCTGGAACTATTATTTTTTAATGTCCCTTAAACCTCAAAAAAGACCCTTGTACTTGTTAAAGATCAATGTGTGTCTAATTTAGTAGACATGTTACAAAAATGTAAAAAAAAGCAGAACTACCAGTAAAAGTTTAATAATAGTGAAATGAGGTCAACAAGGTTTAAATTTCAGTTAAGTTCACATAATTCAATACTTCAAAACCGCGGTATATGGATCATTGTCATCGCGAATAAGACACCTCTTATACTGGTGATAAGAATTTTTACCTGAATTTTGGAAACTAAAATAATAACTGTTAATTTGTTTGTTGTAGGGTTTAAGTATGCAGGTTGTAAGATTTCGATTTGATGGAACACCCATCAATGAAACGGATACTCCAACATCATTGGGTATGGAAGAAGGCGATACAATTGAAGTGTACCAGCAGCAAACCGGAGGAAATTGTTAAAATTAATTTTATAACGCGGCTTACCTATGTTTACTGCGAGCATTGAGAATCTCCCAGTGTTTGTGGTCAATTTAAGGTAGTTTTATGTATAGACTTAAGCTAGTTCTAATATAATTTTTAAGGTTTAATGAAAAACTACTTAATCTGCACTTCACAGTTTTGTTTTTGTCGCGTTTCAGTGTGAAAATTTCTGTATCGTTACAACTTTCAGTTCCAATATTTATTTGAAAATTGATTTTTGTATTCTGAAATTAAAATAATACAACTTCTTTTGATAATGTAAAGATTGATTTTATTAATTTAGTGTTTTTTTATTTTTTTAGAAGATAGTTTAGTGTCTGCCTTTTCGGAAAATACATTATCACCATGTGATCCAAAATGCATATTTCCAAAGATAGTCGCTGCTGCAAAACATATTAGAGCTACAATGACGATCATTTCTACTCTATTTGGAAATGGTACACCACAGGCTGTGTACCATTGTGATCCAATTGAAGGTGGTTTGTTGTTGGGTAAACAATGCCAATCAAAGTACTTCTCATCATAATCCGTCGCACATAAATATTTTCTCTTCTGTAACGTCTGTAAATAATTTTTTAGTACTATTTATAACCGTCGTTATTGGTGCATACCATGCCAAAAGCTGTCTGAATGGGCACGTGCTCGTTACAGGGCCCTATTGGTTCTTTGAGACCTATAGCAATTTCATCTTCTGGATTGAAAAATACAGGCATTAGTAAAAAGCTGGTGTAATGTACAATTAAGTGAAATATTAACAAGAACGTTGTCCAATGCACGCTTTGTTGCTTTTTTTCATTCGCATATTGTTTGGGAGCACGATCAGCAGACCAAATTATTAATAGAGATATCACCAATAAAATAAAATAAGTTACTTCTGAATGTATTTTAAAGATGTCATGTAAGGGATGATATATTGGTAGAAACAACAATATTCCTCCTGGTGTACCAAGAACTCCGGGGATTATTGAACATAAAATTTCCTTGAAGCGACTAAAAAACTAAAATTTGGCACTAAGGTCCTAAAACAAAAAAGCGTTTACCTCTTATCTGGGACCCATTTCCCTTCGCTGTTACAAATGTATTTTCGCGTAAAATGAAACCAAAAAGTGAAACTAGCGGCAAAAGTAGTGTGAAAATAATATGAATTCCATGGAACCCAGTAGTGTCTATCAGCAATGTTCGGGTCAGTGTCGTGCCAAGTCCAGTGCAAGAAGTTGACGCTGATTATATCATACGGAATGTCAATTAGCACTACACCTAAACCAACGGCCAGAGGTTCAGCCCACAGTGGAAGACGCATTTTAGCTACTCCAATGGAGGAATTATAAATGAAGCAAGGATCTGAAATAGAACACCAGTTTATATATTTTTTTTCATATGGCGACCGCTAAATAGCAAAATTAAAGTCACAGTCCCTAAGATTCAAATTCTCGAATTCATTCACATTCTTTTTGGAAAAATAGTGAGTTAGATACTTCTTAAATGTCAATCTTCGTAACATATTTTTTTCCACATTAACTTCAAGTTGTGAGTTCTACACCTGCAATATAGAAATGTAACAGGTACACTCATGACATTTAACCGTATTCTGTTGTAAATTTAATCGTAATGTGATTCCGACTAGTAAATAATTAGTACAATATTTGGTGCAGTGTTGGAACAATTATGCCTGCAAGTTCCAACAAATACAAAAATTTCGTAACAAAGTTTTTGGAGCGAATTTATTTTATTAAACAACTGTATTTCAACATACGTTCAAGTGATGGTACATTTACCTAAAGCACAAAAAATTTAAACAGGTATAAAAACAAGTTCGAGATGTGAATGTTTCACTATCTGTACCGTGCGATTTTTTAAATTTCTGCTCTAGTTGGCCATGACGCACACGTCCAGTTCAATTGAATGACGTAAGCGTCATGGCTGATTAGAGCAGAAACTTAAAAAATCAGCTGATATATTAAACTGATCAGTAGACATGTTAAGTCGTTGAAGCAATATAATTTTTAAATGAATGCTTTTAAATTGTACTTAAATACTTACACAAAAACATAATGTGCAAAGGCAATCTTCTTCCCAAAAATATTACTGGTGTTTGAGAGTGCCAAAAATTGTCAATATCAGGAAGGATGTAGCACATACACTCAACTACAACTCCATGAATAAGAATACCCAACCAAAGGTAAGGCAGTCTTCCTCCACGAATTATTGCTACAAATAAAACCATTGTCAACAATCATTTAACAGAATGTAGCAGTGTTTTTGGCAATTGAAACTATTGAAACACCGCCTCATTAATTCATTATGTTAAGTAAATTAAAACAAAACTCAAAAATGGTTAACTCTTGATGTCACTGCAAATCCAGCTATCCGAGAATCTAGTAGCAAAATATTACGCATTTATCGTGTACTATTCAAAAAATTTTTTCACGCAGGCTAGTAAAACATTTATTAGAATTGCAGTTTATAATTATTTTTAAATATACAAGTGTTCCATTGAAATGAACATTTTTTTTTTTTACTTTTAGAGCGTAAGCACTAAGCGGACACTACTCCTTGATATCTCACTAATTATCAAAAATAGAAAATAAAGAGGAAAGTTGCACGGTTGTTCGAGGACCATACTCTCAAATTATTTTCACTACAGGTACTATTCTGTTTTAAAGATGTAATAACACACAATTAGTTTTTTTCAAATACAATATCTTTATTTGCATATTCTATTCTAATTGATTTCTTCTTAGGCTTTATAACCAAAATTTGTTTTTGAAATTCCATTGCGACGTTTCCGATCATGTTTTGTTCCAATTTCTTAAATTTTTTTAACAATGGAGAGGTTCACAAAACAGAGTTATGTTTAAAATCTGTGATACAATAATATGTGGACACATAAATAAAATTAGGGTTTATAACTACCAGCTTTAAAATATCAAACATACTTTACAAAAAAGAAAGAAAACAAAAAGCAGAATAATGTGCAGTAATAAAATAGAGTGGGTTCTACTTACTTAAAAAATTGAAATATATGTAGTTATTTGAAAATTATTATAATTTAATTTTTTTATGAACACTCTGTACATTAAAGCCCAATATTATTTATACCACAATAAAACCCGTATCTTTGTTTATCTCTCCATAAAATATTGTAATTTAAAAAAAAATAAATTGCGATTTTTTTTGTGAACCCTTCCATTGCTAAAAAATGTTAAGGAAATTGGAATAGGTTGGCAATGTCGCATCGGAATTTCGAAAATAAACTATGATTATAAAGCATAACAAAAGAATATACAAAAATATATAGGGTAGGTGTGCTATTTGTATTTGAGAAACCTAAGTTGTGAGTTACGCTTTAAAAATATAATACTCTGTATAGTTGAAAATGATTTTCAAGTACATGATCTTCAAAGAACTGTACAACTTTATAGATTTAAATTTGTTTCTGTCTCTAATAATAATAATTAATGAGATATATACGAGCGCGGGTTTAGTAACTTACCTGTACATATTTTTTAGCAAAAATTTCACCTTCAGTATCATTATTTTCTAACGTCGCTTTATGATCTACTTACCATGAAACAAAGTTGCTAATCCACCTAGAATGAACGCAAGCTGGGAAATAAGGTAGGTAGGTTCATTTTTCAAAAATATACGTATGTCTGATATTCTAACAAACCAGTCCCAGAACTAAAAATGATGTACACAAACATAAAATTTTTCTGCAATTAGATCTATTTTGTACTAGAAAGCATTGTAGCGACGCAACACAACAGTTAATTTATTTCTTTAAAAGTAATCAGTGGTACTTCAAAAACAAAATTTTCTATTTCTGCGTTCTATTGTCTCTGTGGCATCGAGTTTATTGGGTAGATAATTCCGTATTTCTGTATCGACTAATTTGTATTACGACTTATAGGTAAGTACTGAGTTGCTAAAATATTAACAAGAACTTATCTAATTACTATTTCCAAAAATGGCTGGCAAGTAAAATACAACTACAACTTAGAACTTAACATATGATGCATATTATTTATCAAAAAAAAAAACTGTGCAGTTATGTGCAAAGAAAGCACATAACAGAAGTCTTAAAATTTTCAAAATTGTAAGTTAAGTTAGTTCATATTCTTTCGGTCAGAAATGAAAATTAAGAAGACAACACTATTTTCTTTATTTTTATTTAACAAATGTGATAAACAAGTTTCTCAAAAAGCTACATTCATTTTGAAGTTTTTAGCTGATTATAGTTGTTTAGATTTTGTTGCTGTTGTACTACAATATATTATGATCCCGTAAATTATATATAAATTCACGAACAATATAGTAATGTTGTTAAGAAAAACTAATTACGATTAAACATCTCTAAATACTGATCTTCAATAAAACATTTTTTTTAAATCTTTATTTCTACACTTTTCTTTAGTTTAATTAAAGATTTCTTTTATCTAAAATGTCGCGATTCATTGGTTTTTGCAAAAACCAAATCTGAGAAAATTTACTATATTTCTATTAACAACTATGCCAATGAAAATATTATGACACATTTTTTAAACTATACATTTTGATATAGTCTACATATTTTGCGACAAACTGCTGTATATCTTCAAAATACAAAATCATTTCAATATAACAAGCTTAGAATTATTTAAAATGTACATTATAGAAAAATAATACATACTGTGTGTCAAAAAGTCACACATTTCCTCATATTACTATTTGAAAATATTTTAATTGTACAGTGGTCACTTAATTTTGAAAAATTAAATTTAGATAATTAGAACATTCATGTGTATTGTGTAAGTTATAAAGTGAACAAAAAAGGAAATGTTCTTTCAGAAAATTTTACGTTCGCTGTATTTCCAGTGCATGAAATTCAGTATGCCACATTTGAGTTGCGTCGCTCGTTACGTGTTATGTATGTGGATTGCGTTATGCTTCGGCACGTACTTTATAAATTCAGCATTAGCGCTAAGCGGCCGTGCATAAGTCTCACCATTTCCCAAATTATTGATCATATTTTTCACAACTTAGTATATGTTTTATATATTTTTTTATTTGTAGTAAATGTTGAAGCACTTACCCCATCGTATTTTAATTCCGTAAATTCAGCACCAACAATATATAAATCTTCGTTATTCATTGCTGCTTGTAAACCAGCATGTAACCTTACGATAACTCGAAACAAGTATATGTTTTGTAAACTTTCGAAGATATCATTTAGACGTTTATCCAACTACTTCAGATTATTATACACCTGTGTAATAATATCAAATTATAACTGTCTAGATCGAATTCCTTATCTCTATATACTTCAAACCATGTGCATAAAAAACGTTTAATTCTTAAAATTTAGACGTGGACCACTGTTACCAAGGGCGAATATCGGCGAAAGAATCTTAATCGCATCGATGTCTGTCCACTGCGTGATTAAATTAAACAATTTAAGTACATGCAAGGAGACTCCAACGGATTTTTACTTCGCCGGCGTAAGCTAAGGAAGTAAATTGTAATTGGGTCCATCTGACAACTGGTTACTTTTATATTTTCTGGACGTTTCATTACCCTTAGGGTACGAAAAAATAGTACTATGTCAATTTCTATTAGACATTATCTTCCATTTATCTTCGAAATTTGTCAAATTTTATGCCGATGTTAATTATCGTCGCATAGATGATAAAACAGTAACCAAAATTGTCCCCACCTACAATGGTAAAGTACGGTATTATAATAATAAAGTATAATAAAGGACTTTAAACCATGGGATGACGTCATCTCCAAAATTTACAGTAGTATAAATATTATTTAAATTTTATAAAATAAGATACTCGTCCACTTGTAAATTATGGATTCATGTTGATGTTTTACTCTGGACGTTCAGATTTTTGGAAAAAAAAAATTAAATTGTATAACATTTTGTAATTTAACCGCAAAACCACGTGCTTGAAATCTTGGAAGAGTTGTAAGATACGTCACCATAATGCACAAGCATTATAAATCTTTAATCAAAATTTATTACCTCCCAAAAAATTGAACGCGTCTCAAAATTTTGCTGTTTCTAAAATATGCAAAATATAAATCCTATGCATTCAAGAATAACTCAAAAGATTAATGAGAATGAGGCAATCTATTTTATTGATCAAATCAAGGACGGCTCATCCAGTTGTCTTGAAAATTAGAGTATACAGTACCTACTACTATATTATTGGTATTATACTGCACCTATTCAAATTGATATATGTATGTCTTTGATAAAGCCTTATTGACGTCATGACAAAATTTTGTTATAGAAAAAATCATTTGAACCACAGACATAACATCCTCCCCTTTGCGATGAGGAAACAAACTCAATCAAATTTCATTTTCTTTTAACACAAATGCCGCCGCTGATGCTTGTAATCTAAACGTGTTAATTAATAGTCGAATTCTTTCGAAGCATAAACATAAACAGTCGAAGTTAAACATGTATGAGAAATTGCACACTTTCTCCCGTTTGTTATCTGCTTTAAATATACTTATTCATATTGTCCACACTTGTGTGGACGTCGTCCCGGCGTTGTGGGAGCTGCAGGGGTGATATTTATGTCAATGGTTTTTACTTTATTATGGTTATCACAAAACAAAAATCGCAAAATGAAACTTTCTAATTTTTCAAAGACCCAGGATTTATCGGACTATATTATTCAAGTGGAGGGAAGTTATCAAAATAACCTTGTGACTAATTTTTTTCTGTCTTTTATTTATATCATACTATTATATCTTTTACAATGAATAACCCGCCTAATAGTGTCTTTAAAAAACATTGCAAACCTTGTCACTGCTTGCATCATGAAATCTGTGTGAATCATTTTCTTAAAAGAAGTTGTGTATGTATATACCATATGAAAGTATTTTTATTTCTTATAAGTACATAGCAACTAGTCTAAAAAAGCTTTACTACAAATGTAACCACCTACATAAAAATTGGTAATTAAAAGAAAGGCCGGTCCCATTGGCTTTTCTGTAACTATTAATTTAGATTTCATCTCTATCAAAAATTGCCAAGTAGATAAAATAAATATATAGAAATTACAAACGTTGTGGTCGACGTGATTATGAACCAATACTTTTTTATAAAACTAACTTCCTCTATTTCATCATACAACCTTCTCTCGCGACCCTTTTTCTTATTCTCAAATAATTTTTTATATTTGGCCAACTCCTTTTCATTTCTTAATTCTTCTTCTCTTCGTTTCTGTTCACTAACAATTTGTTGCAGTCTTCGTTCTTCACTTTTTTTCTGCGCGCAAACTTCATCACATTCTACTTTTGCAACATTACTACGCATTAATTCACAAGAAAATTCTTTCTTCAGTCGTTTACATTTACACGTCACTTTGACTTTTCTCCTACATAGTTCTGAATTTGGGCAGGGACCTGAATGACAATTTGTTCGACACCTATGACCACATTCAAAATTTTTGGGACACTGGTTTCCACAGCATTTTATTTCTTCCCTTTTTTCCAAAACTAACCATTCACTACACGCCACATAGGGCTGATTCAGACCACAGTGGCACCTTATACGCAGCATCTGTTTACAAGGTGGGCAAGGTCCGGGATGACATGGTTTCGGACATTCGTGTTGGCAGCCTTCTGGTCGTTCTTTCGTGCATGGACTTTCACACACTTCACAATTTTTTCCGGCCTACAGAAAAAAATATTTCAAAAAGGCATCTTTACTCTCTAAAAAAAATTAAGAAACACGCATTTAATTCTAGAAAGTGCCACAAAAATCGAAACTCATAAACACTTATGTACGTGTTGGGATTGTGCCTACTCATCACAATGAAGATCATATGGATTAGGACTAGGACTCTGTTAGGACTAGTTCTAAAAAGGAGTGTAACTTTATATGATCCAAATTCATGATAAACAATACAACTGTTAATAAACTCTCTTGTCTAAGCACATCATTATCGTTGCTAAAAAAGTTATTAATGCTGACTTTTCCTCATCTCTGAAACATACAGAACCACCTGATTGTGTTTCAGACTTTCTACACTTTAGCCATAGAACATTAAATCATGTCAACTACATACTTGCATTTAAAATACATATATGTTTACTAAGTACACCAAATTTTTTTTCTAGATTTGAACAATTCTTGGAATACGCTATTCAACGATATAAAACTTCATCAATCAATGCTAATTTCATGTTTTCTGGATGTTTCATTGCTCCCGAAATATGACGAATATTTTATCAGTTATTACACAAATAACCTCCGAAATGATTGAATTGACTGAAATTTGCCATGTTAAACGTATTTTAAGAATATCGTGTAGATGGTAAAACGTTCACCAAAATTTGCCTGAATATCTGCATCAAAAATTTGATGACATCATTTCAAAATTTTGCTGAGTAAATCCCATATAAAATGTGCAAAATAATATGCTTTCATACCAAAGCTGTACAATTTAAATTTAATAAGGTAAGAGCTACAAAGCAGCTATAAAGTACTGTTTTAATTGGTATCAATGAATTTTGCTTGAAAATTGGTAGGCCTGTCACTCACCTTACTTCCTGTTGTCAAAAATTAACATGGTAAACATAGTTGGCAGTGACCACTAGTCTTAATAACATTTAATTTACGTTAACATTTTCTTTTGATTAATTATTAAAATGTCAAAACTCCAACTTCCTGGAGTGCTTAAAAGTGACATGGCGCCAAGTATTTGATTCGGGTTTGGCAAGAAGTAGGGCAAGAATATTCTCAGAGTTGATTCATTCTATTGCCAACTCAAACAGTACTTGTTGATCACGTGGTAGATCGAAAAAAAAACCTCCTCTAGCAGGACGTGTAATTTATTTTTAAAATAATGATGTTAGCAACACCAATGCGTTCCTTGTGTAGTCTGACAGTTATGGCTTACTAAAGGAGTTTTTTTTTCGATCATATGGTATAATTTATCTAAGAAATTGGACTTGTTGAACTGATTCGAAGGAAATTTGATCTATGTAACTTTAAGCTACGTGTTCACTTGTGAGTAACTCTCGCAAGAATTCTGTTTTTTTTACAGCATCTTTAGTATTAATTAGCCATTCCATATTTCAGAGTTCTAACATTGATATTAATTGAGATATTATTACAGTCGCTCTCAGGACGCAAACAGAGACAGTTTTGCTTATCAACTTGAGGCTGTCCTAACCATGCTTTAGACATTTTTTTAAAATCATTACAAACTTGTAAAACAAAAAACTCAGGACTTCACGGGTGCGTATAATACAAACCTTAATTCCGTCAGGCGCATTTTCAACCACGTGACAAGAAAAAGTGCAGATATGATTTTCACATTTTAATGAACGTCCACACGGTCTATGACAACTGGAAGGCACGGCTCTGTGACAGGGCCAATCACTGGTTTCGTGACCACCTATGAAACAATAAAAAATGTAGACAACTTTGACATTAGAAAATGCACATTGTTTTTCTATTTTTATCTCAAATGAAACAAAGTGCAAACCTAAACAAGTAACTGTTACTGGTTCTTCGCACGCGGGACAAGGTAAAGATTTTCGTTCAATTTGAGGTTCTGTTTGTTCCCAAGGCATAGATGGTTTCTGGGCTTCAATTTTTACCATTACAGCAGAATGGCATGTAAAAGAGCACAAATGATTACAGTTTAGACGTTGTTTACTACATATTTGTCTACATGGTGGACAATCTCCAAAGTGGCACTTATGTCTTTCTCGTGCTTCATGATGACAGTCTGGTGGTACACTTAAAACAAATCACATCAAATCAAAAAAAACTTATTTTTGTACATGGTGCCGACTTACGTGCATAACTGGTTACATTTAGGTGGTTTGGTTTTGTGCTTTCTTCCACAAGGTACAGTAATTTTCGTTTGGCCGCAGCGACAAGTGACAGTTTCTGTTTGGTTACAAGGATAACACAAACCTCTGTGACAGACTGAGGTGCATTTATGGTTTCCACAGTTTAAGGTTCTAGCACAAGGTTTTTCACAAGGAGGGCAATTTCCATCACAACACTGCAAAAACACATCTTTTTTAGCAATTTTGTGAATTTCCTCAACAGTTTAACTCCATAAAAAGCAACATTTTTTTAAAAATGGCATTTGTTATTTGGGATTTTTTTTGTAATTATTGAAAAACTTATAGGCTTTGTGTTAAGACGTTTCACAAATGATTTATAAAACACTACTCACATAAAATTATAGTAGTTAGGTATTTTACTTAAAATTATACATACCTTTTTATTACAAGGATGTTTGTTGCAATCCTTCATTCTCTTACATTTGGTTTCACAGGAATAGGGTTTATAACATTGTACTTCTTTAGAATGTAGACCACATTTACAAGCCTTTTCAACAATTTCAAGGCACTGAAATAGTCAGAAAGTTGATGTAGTTGAGTTCAATTGCCACAAAGGGTTAGTATTTTATACAATATTTATATTTTCAACTTACCACCCCACAAGTTTCCTTGTGACAACGTTGATTACATGTATGAAGACCACAAGACAGTATTTTTTCACAAGTATCTTGACAAGTTGGTGTTTCTTCAGTACAAGGCAACTGATATTTACTTTTGCCACATGGGCACGATCGTACCTCAGTTAGAGGACAAGGATCACATGCACCATCATGGCATATCACTGAGCAATTATGGTTTCCACAGGAAAGTGGCTTATTGCAAATCTGAAAGCGATCATTTCGTTACATTGTATTGGTATTGCAAGAGGTTGGTGGCAATGATAATAATTATAGAAAATAAAAAGGCTACTATATGCTGCAATACTTGCACAAACATTTAAACATGCCAAAGGTAACTAGTTTATTCTACAATTTAGGTCGTAAAATGATTTAAAAGTAAATTTAACAACTCATTTATGAACATTTTGAAGTCTCTTTACTTTAGTGCTTATGACTACAGGAATAAACAAAATCTATCTATTACAGGAAATGACAAGATTATACTCAGGCTGTCATTTATGTGGTCAGTATTTTTGATTGTTTTTTGTCCGTAAATTTAATAAATGGTCAGTATTTTATAGTTTAAAATAAGTTTGTTTTGGATGAGGTCAGTAGCTTATGATCAGTGAAAATGTGGTCAGTAAAATTTATATTTTGTCAGTATTTTAAATAGTAGGCAATGTATTAAAGACAAACTAGCAGTATTTTAATTTGTAACGTTTGTAAATTAATTAAAATTGTTTTTTATAATGTAATGTGGCAGTATGTAGTTTCGCGCCAGAAACATAACCTATAAAAGAGTGACGTGAAAGTCAACATGATGTCTCAAAATACTCTTAATAATGTTAATGCTTACACATCCGACGATGAAGCTGCAAGTTCTGTTCCTATACAGAAAGGAAGACAAAAAAAAACGCAGACATAATATAATAGCATTATCCATTAGGTTAAAATATGTCGCACCTCCTCCCAGTGCCAAACAAGTACCTATAGGTAAAAAACGGTCAAGAGGGAGACCCAAATTGGCAACACGGGCTCTCTTAATTGATTGACTGTAATGTCTTATTTTATTACATTTGCTTGTATTTTAGAGTTTATTGTTTATTTTTCATTTTTAAGACAATTATTCCTATATTTTTTGTTATGTTCTTACAGTTAAGTTTTATTGATACAGAGTTTTTCGTTTAATTGTAAGACAATAATATTTTTCGTTAAATTGCATTTAAAGTATTTTCCTATAAAAATATATTTACTACCATTTATGTATTTGTTGTTTATTTAATATAATAAATAAAATTATATTTTAAAGACGTTCAATTATTATTTTTTACTAACAGTATCTAAAATTTTTACTGATAAAAGGATATAAAATTACTGACCATACATGAATTATTATTTTACTCAAATCAATATTATACTGATAATGATGTATATTATACTGTTCGTAATATACACAAAATACTGACCATTTTTATTAAAAATACTTGCATTTTATTCATATAAATACTGACCAAATAAATAGAACCCTTATACTCAATTCCTATGCAAATGTATGAAAAGGCTTCTAGTGAAAGATGGGAAAGAATGAGCATTGAAAATATACTAAAAAATAAACTTAAACCATATAATGATTATTTGTAATACCTTATCACATCTCCATTCAGGAGTAGCACAGTCACGTAATTTTCTGTTAGTTTTACACATGCAGTTTTGTAAACTTTTCTTTGGACAAGGTTTGCATGTGCCAAAATGGCAAGGTTCTGAGCAACTATGTTTTTGACAGCTTAGTAATTTACCACATCGATTACCACAAGACCATTCTTTATCACTACATCTCCTTGTAACAGGTTGTTGAGAGCCACAATAACAACTAACAGCGATGGTCACTGGACATGGTGGACATGGTCCTAAGAATTTACACAACATAAAGTTATTTGAAATTAAAAATTAGTACTACTTACCTGGATGACACAGCAACAAGCACTTGTGCCCACACGTAGGAATTAAACTTTTACCACATATCTCACCACAAGAATGTGGAACCAAAAATGGTTGTAGTTTTGGATTTTTTGTCTTTCCACAGAAACATAAATATCGATCTGGTATGTCCTCTATTTGATAATTACGCCTACATTTTGGGCAGCACCATGTTAATGTTACTTGACGTACCTGAATAGGGCTCTCTTGAATTTGTTTTTGTTGGTAAATTGTATCTTTAGACCATCTCTGAATGCAATTGAGGTGAATGACACAGTAACATTCATTGCAGTTCCAAACCTATTACAGTAGCCCAAAATAAATAACAAAATAAATTTAACTATTAGTACTTACTTCAGCATCTCGTTTAATCCTGGATATGCATATAAGGCAGGTAGCAGTTCCTGACAAAAATGAATCCTTCAAAAACGCTTTTGTTCGCCCCAAGGATTCATTTTTTCCTCCGGTGCTTGTATAATTTTTAACAATACCATCTGGAAATACAATATGAAACGTGTTGAGCTACTTTTGCTTGTATCAAAAACCTATAATATTTTCAGACTCCAATTCTTCTTCTTCTGAAGACGATTCATAGTCCTGCACGTGTTTTCGAATTGCAGCTTGTAATTTTCCTTGCGCTTCTTTAAATTTCTGTTCAGCGGGTGTTGGTGAATTAACATTTTGATTAGCTGGATTAAATTTTCCAACACTACTTTTATTACTATTTCGATTTTTATTCCAAATGTTGGTGTCTTTTTTTCTGGTGGCCATCTTTTAGGAAAAGTATATTATAACATCTTGTACGGGAAAATTTTATGAAATTATTAGTAAAGTTTTAAGGTTATCTGCCACCTAGCAAAGTTATGACGACTATGGTATGACATGACGCAACCAGTGACGTATAAGAATGGCGGCCTGGCAACTGATGACTGATGAGAGGGCTGCTGATTGTCATTTTTATAAAGCTCCGATTGGAGATAACTTCGAACGCCATATCGCAGTCGTAACTGCAACGTAACGCTTGTTACTGTTATCACTCACGTTCGGGGGACATAAATGGCTCTCATTGTTACTGAGATCTTCTGAAACAAATGAAACAATAACGTACACTCAAAAGAAATTGCAGTATAAATTTTCTGACTTTATCGATGACAATGCTGACGAAATGTGACCACGTTTTAAATTGATTTTAATATTTAAAGTAAAACAATTTTAAAAAGAACATCATTGAATTTTCATAAGCGCATTTTTTCAAAGTGATTATGATCTTTTCAGTTTACATGTATTGAGAGCAATAAAAATCACGATCAAACGCGTAACACGCCTCTTTACATTTACTTAACATTATATACACATCTTTACTTTAATTTATAGGGTTCAAAAAAAAAAACGTAAAATTCGCATAATCAAATTTTATAATTTTTAGGAAAAGCTATATTTTTATTGTATGGTTGGCTTAAAAAAAAACGGGAAATGTCCGAAAGAGTTCTGATGTGAGATTTTATTAATTTTTCATAGTTCGAAACGGCTTTTTAGAATTTACGCTAAAAACTGCCCCTTATGTGTCAGAAATGTTAGTTACTTTTTAACAAAAACTATTGTCAGATAGACAAGAATTGACATAAATTGACAAATTAAATTTTCAATTCACATTAGGTCAAATTTATAGGCTGAGCAAACAAATAACAACTAACGTCTTTATATTGTGTTGTATGTCACCTACTTAATAACCAATTAATCAGGTTTCTTGATTTCATGTATGTTTAAAATTAGTGACTTATTAACTAAAAGATTAATTAATTCTAAAAAAATTATGAATAATTTCTAAATTAGAGTGTTAATTATGTCACTACTGGAAACAAAACTTTAAAGCTCCGATTAAAACAAAAAAATATGAGAAATAAAAGATAAAGGGGTGTTATCGGTGAAAATGATCTAAAAACTTAAAATCCTAATAATAGAGATTTGAATTCAGAAGAACAACCTCTGTCAGGTCGATCTATTGAAATTGAATAAACTGTATCTTGCACTAATAAGTACTCGGCAATTATTTAACGAAAAACCATAAATCACAAATTCAATGCAACTCTGAATGTTTCTAGCCCACTATACACTGGCGGCACGCTCCTTTTATGGCGTCATTATCCCTCAGCATTGTCCGACAATTCCTCACAGTAGCGGTTGTAAAATTTTACTAGGTACTGTTGAAATGGTGGAACTGTACATTCGCATTTTTTCTGTACCTCTGGTCAACGACACTAATTTGCCGATCGCGTCGCCTGGTTTTGGGAACCGTGATTTTATCGACATCATTCTGTTAATAACCGGTATAATTATTAAAACAAACTGTACCACGGTTGTAGAATAGATAGGTTTGTACACTAATGGCTTGGGGTGGCGACGCTTCTTTTCGATCCCTATATCCATGGAAAGGACACATACAGCTAGCGCCTCTACCTTGTTGAGCGGAAATCGTTCTAGTTATTTTGGGGATTTTCGTTTACATTGCTTTATGAACAATACAAAATTTGTAAATGATATTTGATCGGAGTCGATAAGTAGGATTTCTTTTATTAATTACATCGGTTATAGACAGATGCCTATAGAGTTATGTGTCCCTAAAACGTCAAAAACCAGGCGACGCGATCGGCAATTGGCGTCGCTGACCAGGGATATGCAAATGTATGCTAGTGTATCAACCTATCTATTCTACAACCGTGAACTGTACTTATCGATTCCGATCAAATGTCATCTAAAAAATTTAAATTGTTAATTGTCATTTGTAAACGAAAATCCCTAAATTAACTAGAATGATTTTCCTTCTAGACGGCAGAGGCGCTACAGATGTTAGAGTACAATCATATACCTAATAGAAAAAAAGTACTTTATTACGTATAGTTTTGGAAATTTCATTCTACCCTATAAAATTTTATTGGCAATAACGAGACGGACAGTAGTACAATAGCAAGAGATATTTACAACTTAAGTTGTCGCGTGCTTAGATCATATAATAAATAGATACCACCATGCCGTGTTCTTTCCCTAGCAGAGCCTGTGACGACATCCTCCTGTCACACATCTCTCTCGTGCATGGAGGGATTACAATGAAGCTATCCTTGCCTGATCACTATTTGAATTTTGCGCGCCTAAATTTTAGGAAGTATGTCTGAACTAACTTCATACGAAAGATGTTGACAGCTTGATTTTATAAATAATTCACAGTAGATAATGAAAGGAATAGTAAATTATTGGGCAGCAATTGTGATCCTTTATGATTACATCACTTAAAATAGGATCTTTGTTCTAAATTCTAAAATTGTTTTTTGTACAACAACTCGAAAGATAGGTTAGAAGAAACATCTGTCAAAAGCGATTTGTTGCGCTGGTGCGGTACAAGGATGGAAGTGAAATAGACATATACAGATGAAATGCATATAACAAAGATGAAGATGTGGTGATCACACAAGGATAGCATTATACTACTCCTCTTGACGTAGAAAACGACAACAGATAGCTTCATGTCTAGTCACAGCTTTCAGTTTGAGTATTGGTATCTATTTATTATATGATCTAAGGTCGCGTGCCGGTAATCCCCAGATGTTAGAAAGCAGAATAATCCAGGTCCGGACCATCGTTAATGAAACGAAAATGACCATTATTTCATGCGTACAACTACCTGCTAAATGTTCTCCAATAAATTCGGGTGAACTGGTGTGAGCCATAAATATTTCTTACCATTGTACTACTGTCTGTCTCCTTATTGTCAATAAAATTTTATAGGGTAGAATGAAATTTCCAAAAGTATATATGAATATAATAGTGTCCCTATATAGAGTACCGCAATGGTCGCCATTTAGAATCTAGAAACTGGCGGCGATTTAAAATCAAGAGCCTTTGGACATTACTCTGGATCTGGTAATTTTTTTCACCGGTGACAAAATTAACCACTTTAAAAACTAACTCACTTCTCTTCTAATGGTTTTTATGCAAATAAATAACGCAAATAAATGTTTTCAAGCTATTTTATGCTACACTTTATATAGCTTCGTGCCAGTAAATTTGTGATAAATATGAAAATATTGCAGAAGCTGGAGAGATGGGGGATGTTCTATTTATTATTTATTAACATTTTAATTACATAACAACAGATAATTTATAATTTTCAAAATTTGTTCAAACCACGGCCGTGGTCGAAAGTCATAAATAAGACTAACCGGAATTTGTTATAATAGTACATACTTGTGATCTTATTTAGTACCTAGGGTGCAAATATTGTTATAAGTGGATTACTACCACAATAATTTTTTCTTGTTTGCCTCAGTATTCTCACTCATCGGGCTATTTTTTAGTGATAAAAGTTTTGTGTGGAAAACAAATAAATTTGACAGTTTTTGTACATCTATCTACAAAGTTTTGTTTAATTTAATAATTGTGATCGATTTTGTAGCATACTTACTTATCACTGTTGTAGTTTACCCAGACAGTTAAGCAAGAAGATAGTACAGCTGGTTCCGGTCTCCCCTACTAAATAAATTTTGTGACTGCAACCAAGAAGGGTGGCAGCATGACTTGGGAAAATTTAGATTATTTCATCGGTGTACGTAAGAATAACTTTGGCGGGTAAGCTGCCTCTCCGAATATGAGCTGAACTGACCCCAGGCAAATCTCTGTCGAACAAACAGTTCTTCGTCCTGCTGTGGTTAAAAATGCTCCACTATACTACAGTTCGACATATACATATTTGTTGATATTCGGTTATAAATATATCAGATCATACAATCATAATCATACACAAAAGATACAAACATGAGGAAAACAGCCATAATATAAAACAAGGGAGATAGGTATTTTCTAACTGGTACAGAATAAAAACTAAAATTATTCATAGACCTACAAATTTGTTCATCATTTGAAAAAGGTAATGCATTTTTATATTTTAAACTTGGATCTTCAGTTGAAAATAAATCCTCTAGTTGGATCTACTAAACTTGTTAGTGGTATTTCAGCAAAAAATATTCTCATTATAGGATGTTCTATAGATTTGCACTGAATTTCAGTGACATTTACTTATTTCTATTGGTTTATTTAGGAAAAAATTTAACAAAAAAGCGATTAATTAAATATCACTTGTGAATTGATAGATTTAAGTGTTTTTTGTTATATTCGTCCCCAATCAACACTTTGAAATTTCATTTCGGACTTTATTAGTAGCATAACTATTATTATATTCTTGTTATCAATACTAGTATTGAACAAAAATAATAATAATAATAATAATAATAATTCACGATCTACGGTTGGCTTAAAAAAAAACTGGAAATGAAATGTGACCTAATGTGAATTGAACAATTAATTTGTCAATTTATGTCAATTCTTGCCTATTTGACAACAGTATCTGTTAAAAAGTAACTGACATTCCGACATTTCTGACACGTAAGTGGCAGTTTTTTAACATAAATTCTAAAAACCCGTTTCAAACTATGAAAAATAATAAAATCTGACAGAACTTTTTCTGACATTTCCCTTTTTTTTTTAAGCCAATCGTACATGTTTAATATAATGATTGTTTGCAGCTTTGAATACTTGTTATTACGATTCTCGTTAACATTGGTTGTAGTAATAATTTTGTAATTAATGCCAATAGTTTTTATTTCTAGTGTTAGGTGAGTTTGTTTATATTTCATGCCAATTCGCCGATAAGCGAATAAGTGGATATTGTTTTATTAGAGATTCCTGTGAAAAGTTTTTTCTGCATTCATTTATGTATCATACGTTAATTTTATTTATAATGTCTAATGCATTGATATCATACTATCTATCTAATAATAATAGAAAACTGTGAATGCTCTGTTAAGCGCATAGATAAGTACATTGTAATACTGACACATAATAACAATATTTATTCTCACATTGTCGCGAAAATGGGATGCACTGTTCTTGTTTTACTATCTACATGATAACAATCGATTCAGTAGTTTCGGAGATTATCTGTCAAAATAAAAATCCGGACATACGGCAGACAGACAGACGGAAACGGGCGACCCATTTTTTCATATTCTTGAAATCATAGCACATGGAGAAAACATGAAATTAGCCAGTTGTCCGATGAACTCGATTACAATATTTCCTTAGCTTCCGCTCGGGAACTAAAAATAACGGGAACTTGACATTTTGTTCATCATTTTTACTTCCCTTGCGCTAAGTCAGTGAAGCAGTGTAATACTAATAAGGGCACACAACTGCATGTTTCTTGTTGTTTCACGGATTGTAAAATTTAATAGGAAAAAATCCCTCTCCGATTTTCGTCGGTCTGTGTTTCATCATCTCTCAGTGTAGGTGATTTTATTAGATAATTAACATCTGAAACTGCTAGGATGCCTATAAGTTTAAGCGTAAAGTAAAATACTTACTTACTTTAATCTTAATGAACATGCAAATTTGATGACGTTATAGTGCTAGTCGTCTCGATGGAAATTTACACTGTGATATGCTCCTTTATTTGTAGTTTAGTTTAATAATGTATCTGTGTTTATACCCGTACGGATATGGGTTATTTTTTGAAATATAATAGTGTAATAGTGAAATTATGAATCATAGAAAATCGAATAAAATTACTCAGAAGAATTTTAACACTTTTTCTAACAGAACAGGTATGCTGTTGCACGTTTATAAAAACAAAACTTTTAAATGTTTAATATGAATTTCAAAATAAAACTTTGTCATTTTTGAAAATTGAGGTTGGTTGTTTTTGTTTTATTAATCAGTAAAATAAAATGCCTCATTAATTAATCTCTTTTGAGTCATCCTGTATAACCAGTTTTAACAAATATGAATGCATTTATAAACCACAAGGATATACTCATAATATTTTACACATTTAAATCAGATTTATCCAGCAAAAGTTTGAGATGACAACATCAATTTTTTTTTGGTGGGATAAACACGTACATTTTTAGACCATTCATCAGACTTACCTTACCTTATCTGTTGTTACATATTTTTGATTTTTTTTTTCAAAAATCAGGAAGTACAGAAGTATGTTACTTTATAAAATTTAAGTATACTTTTTACGATTTTACTATCCAAAATTTTGTGAAGACGTCATCAATTATTGATGCTGATGATCAGACAAATTTTGGTGAATGATTACTACATATTACTTTTAAAGTACTTTCACGGTTCATTCCATTTTCCCGAAAATTTGAGAACAGAATCCTATTATTATTAGTTATTATACTGCATCTATTAAATTGCTATACGTATTCTTGGTAAAATGATGATGATGTCTTAACAAAATTTAGTTACGGAAAAACTCACTTGAAACAAACGCATAATATGCTTCTTTACCTGTATACCGGCCCATCGACCATATCTTTATTTTAACTTGAAGGGGCAATCGTGAAACATATTATGTAAAATGTGAAAAATCAAATTTTGTAATGTTTTGAAAAATCTGTATTTGTTGGAGGTACTTCAGGAGCGAGCAAAGTTCTGTCTAAACAACCTTGTACTAATTTCTTTAAAGAAATTTAACATAATTTTTTTATGCAGACCAATCGTAAATTCTTTAGAATTTTATCAACAGTTAATGTGTTTCGAACTTTATATTACAGCGGTTTATATTAATAAAAAAGTTAGAAGTGAATGCAATATACCTAATATTTGTAACATTTTTAAAAGGTTACATAAAACATTTTATATCAGAATAATTGGAATTCTTAATTGTTAAAAAAACTAATAGGTGAGTACAATTTTAACATTCGGATATAAGTAGTACGTGCATTGCTTTTAACACTGTTAACAAATCAGTTATTCTGTGTAACAGTTATTGACAACGTTTGTTAAGTTTTGCAGCTGCTGCAAGTAGGGTTCATAAGATTACTTATATTTTATTTACTTTGCGTTTCTCGTCACTTTGGATAGGGAATGTATATTCAACGAAGTTTTAGTTCAGTTTTGCTAGCATATGATTTATTGAATACCAAATACATCAAGTCATGTATGTGCTAACTCTGGTAGACACAAAGTATTTCGCCCCCTTCTGATGACAAATGTTCAACGTGAAGTAAACGGTAAGGATCAGTTGAGCCGCCGCATGTGTCATCTATGGGGCGTGACGCGCGCCGTGACGCATGTCGTCGATCCGCTATCTACCTGAATCTGCCTCACTAATGACCATCTAAATAGAAATCGTCTTATCTATATTATAATCGAGCACAATCAGAGCATAACAAGTGATCTATGAGATTTGTGTGCCAAAAGACAACCTCAAATTAATTAAGGAATACAGCACTAACGCACGCATCATCCAACACATTGATGGTTCTTCTTACTGAATATTACCCGTACAGTTCTGCAATACTGAATAAAATGTTAAGACAGAATGGGACTCCACTGTCCAATATACCATTTATCACACAAAACCCATCTGTAAGAGGGTAAGAGAGGAGTATCCCCTAGCGGAAGGAACGTTTTAGAAAAGCTTTGTACTAAAATGTACAATTAATAGACGAGAGAAAACAGAAAACAGAGTTCTCCTAGAACTTAGGCCCTTATCAGAACTAGTTTGTATGTTTCTGTCAAGAGTAGGAAAAGAAAATAGACGAGTACTATAAATATCTAATGCATTTCTTCACCGCGTTGTACTTAATGTGTATGATGTGGACAGCAAACCGGTTGATATACAAGGGCATTTCTTGGGTTGCCGTTATTTTTTAATATAGATTTTTTGAACTTCAGAGTAATTTAATTTATTCTTAACTGCCGTGGTAAACTGGCTTTGTTAAAAATCGTTGGCATCGTTTGTTTTTGAGATAAAAATCCATCTAAAATAAATCAAATGAATAAATGTGCGGAAAATATATTTACTTTATTTTCATAAACTAATCTTTCACAAGTTTAAATCGTGACCATGAATTGTGCACGAACTATATTTTTTGCAAATCGTTTAACCTAGCGTCACATTTACCACTAGTTTATAAAATTTTATTTTGACTTTCAAATGTCAGTTTATTAAAATAACAAGTGAAGCAAAAAGGTGGTTGTAGTAAATATTTTTAAAAGGTATATATTTTGTAACTGGTGATCAGTGATCAACTTACAGTGTGTTCATTACAGTTGATTATTACCCATGAAACATTGGTATTCCATAATTGATAGATTTCTAACACAAAGAGCTTAAATGTGCTTTAACGATACAAAGTGCTTCAAATTTGGTTCATTCTGTAAAGACTTTATTGTTTAATTCACATATGATTGTGTAAATTTTTATTGACTAGCCCAAATTCTGACGGTTAGCGTAACACTAATTTGTACTTTAAGCTTTCATTATAAAATTACTTCTGGTTTACATTCACGTGTACTTTTAAATACGAAGTCGATCTTTAAAGTCGATTTATGAATAGGATTCCCACTTTCTTAACAGCAGAACAATTTAGCAACTATTCGACACTAAATTCTGCTTGCACATAATTCTTCTACATGTCTTAATTTTTCTGTACACATGAATTATTTCTTACTTTTATTCCATATAACATGATTACGGGGAAACTAAATTGTGTTTGCGTTTTAAACTGACCGTTCTAACATATGTTCATATTTGTTAGACGGCCCAACGAAATGAAAATCATCGTCAAAGTGTGTTATGATATTAGTTTACATATTTCATGAAAAAGAGATTCGGAATCTTACAACTCGAAATAGACAACGATCAAGGTTAACTGAAGTTAAACACACGTAATTGATAACACCGTTTCTGTGGACACAATTTTTATCGTTTTTATTCATCTGTCGGTTTTCCCAAATTTTACAAATTGTTGGTGAGAAACAGTTGGCCGATGTTACGACAAATTATATCATGAAGATATCCCACACATGCCATTAAACTAAAAATTAGTTTTGTTCTTTTTGACGCTGATTTATCTAAGAAATGCAGCAAAAGTTTGAGATGACATCATCAATTTTTTTGGTGATGGTGTTTATTTCCTTTATAACATTTTTTGTCTTTCCTTTTCTCATTATAAAAGTGTGGGATATTGTGCTGCTTATCACTAATTTAGCCAAAGTGATACGAGATATAAAAGGTGGTGAGTTGATGATGATGACTGATGACATTTGTAACATAACGAAAATATTAAATACAAAAATAAGAGCACAAATCACGTTACATAAGTACTGTTCTCTTGTAAAATTTATTGCAGACTGGCAAGTCTAAAAATGTTACTATGTCTCAAGACAAATTATTCTTAATTAAATGTTATAATATGTTGTTAATAAAAATAATAGAATGTTACTTTTGTTGAGTTCTTCAAATATTCTTTTCCTCAGTAACATATTTAAATATTTCCCAAACTGTTCCTATAACGTACAAAGTTATACCATAGCTATGTGGTTTTTAAATATTTAATAAAATTCAGGAAGTAAAAATTATTAATTATTGAAAAATACATAAAAAATTCTTTTTCAACCGTTGGAAAGACAATTACATAAGTATTAAAAATCATATTTTCTGAAAATTAATTATGTTAGGAAATGTGGAAATATGCGAACATCCGTGTGGTGCTAAATCATCAATTACGAACTCACAAGACGATGGATATTTGACGCTTGCAGGCGGTTTTTCGCTTTGTCGGTGTGGGTCCAGGTGTAAACACTCAGGCACGGGTCATCATTATGAAGTCTATCACATAAATGATGGTGTAGTCATTTAATCCTGACAGGCAGACGTGATAATATACAAAGTCATGTTCCTGGTGATGTCGTTGCAGAAATCTAGAAACAACTCACTCAAAGCAAAGTAACTTCAGATTTTGCCACGATAATAAAATTGATAGATGATATTACAGAAGGTGACATAATAACTGTGATTAATTTATTTATAAAAGTGTTAAATTATGGTTATGAGACTACCGATGTTTTTAAAAATCTACATATTTGATTTGATGTCAACATACCAGTAAAATGCTGTAGGTACTATAACAATGATCCCAACCAGTAAAATAAAAAACTTTCATAGTAAATTCATTCAAATTATTTCGGGGGTATCGATACTATCTCAAGCAGATTTTAGTTTATGGAGTACTAATGTAATATGATATGACTACCTAAATTTACTGTCTCTTAATCTCTTATATTGTTTATATAAAACTGCTCCTAAATAGATCCCTGGCTTTCAAACAGTTCAACGTTTTCGCAAATTTTGTCACCTATCCTGTAGGCAGCAAAATTTGTCACTAAACGTACGCTCCTCGATATCTCATTATCATTATTATTAGAAATAAAAAAAAATGGAGAGGAAAGTTGTACGGTTCTTTGAGGAGCATACACTCAAATTACTTTCAATTATACAGAGTTTTTTAAAGCGTGACACAATTTACAGTTTTCAAATAGAACAGCCTATATATTTTTCCATATTTTAATTGACCTCTTCATTGGGTGTGATATAGAAAAAATTGAGTCTTATTATACAGAGTATTTAAAAAAAAAATAATTATTATAGTTTTCAAATATCGATATTTCATTATCCCGTAAAGTAACTGTTACAACGAAATTAATTTGCATTAAAACTGAGCATTAAATAAATTGGTAGTTACTACTGGTTAGTTATAGTTGATATTATAAAAGATTTTAAATAATTTTGAAATCATATTCGGTATGGTTTTTACTGCGATAAATATCCAAGTTGCTTTGGACTTTTACTGTTTATTATGAAAAATTTTAGAAGCATGTTATATGTCTGTTTAAATAAGATATATCATTATTATTTTTTCATAAGATCTATATAGCTTAATAGTATTTAACGTTACAAGTCCGGAAAGACATATTTTACAATATGAGTGAGAAGTTTGACTCGAAACGAATACTGTAAAAAGTGTTCACGGACGTGTGTCGTGATGTATTTTATTTCATACTGCCATCAATTTTATTTAAATAAAATTTTACAATTAAATATTTTGACAGTTAGCTATCTGACAAAAAAATTTAAACTTGTCATTTTCTGTTGCATTCGTAGCAACGGCTCTTCAACAAATGTTGAATAGTGTATTGCAGTACATAATAAATCGTAAAGTATGAAATAAAATACTATAACCATGGTGGCAGTATATTAGTTACGTCTTTGTTACTAAAATTTCATTGTCAAGTTTGTGTTGAAAATAATTTCACTTGCAACGTGAAATTTATATTTGGTATCGATATCTATTTACTGATGTAAGAACATTTTAAGAAATAAGTGGTCGATGAGAAACTTTTAATTTTTGCGTTAGTATAATGGCGAATCAATTTTTGTTGATTATATTTCCAGAAGCTCGACTGGAAGTTTACACATTTTTTTTTTAGATAAGTATATATTTCTTACAACATATATAAGGGGAACAGATATATCCGTACTTCACTGTTAAATTCAACACTAAGTATAATACTTTAAATTTAAAGTCATACATTTAATAGTACAATTAGATAGATATAATGTGAAAACAACGGTTAAAATTAATTCACTACTAATGGAATGACATAATTCACTAGGGCCCCCTATATCAATCGAATAAAAGATAGATATAATGTGAAAACAACGGTTAAAATTAATTCACTACTAATGGAATGACATAATTCACTAGGGCCCCCTATATCAATCGAATAAACAATAACTAAAACGACTAATTCCCATGACAAAAGGTACGAAGTAAAAAACTGAGAGCTTGGTGCTTATAAATATAAGTACTTATATTATAACATGATGATCTCTTGTTATACTCAAAATAAAATACAAAAAAAAAAGAAAAAAATAGTATATCATATAGGTAGACGACTGTATTCCATTTATTACTTAATTTTGTATTGTCGCCGTAAAAAATCAGTTTTTGGCTATAAATCAATATGTATAATATAATTCTTATTTACAAACCTATAAATAATAAAATTAAATATACTTACTTGGACCTTATTTCTGAAGATAGTTTTAACTTAATTACTAATTAATATCTACGCTGTGTTAGTCGATCATGTGAGGAAGGAAGAGAACACAAGTATTTTTTTTACATTTACTTAAGTAACACTAAAAACTGAATGTTGTGTATTCCTTGAAGCACATTTTCATAAATAGAATGCTTTTAATTTAGTTTGCGGCTTTAACAAGACATCAAAATTGAACAGAATGCAATAATTATTGGCTTCATTGTTTTTTATTAGTGACCATCATTGCAGAAATTAAAATAATATAGACTTCGAATCATTTTTAAGTATCATTGTGAGAATAATAGTTACTTACACAGGAATTTACTAGAATGGGACAAATGGCACCCATGAACCAAAATCCAAAAATAAACTTACTCTTTTTTATGAAAAAATACAAAATAGATAACAACTACATATTTTAGTTTTTTACTTCTAAATAACTTAATTATTTTTTATGGCGAATTAGTTGAGAGGAATATTAAAGTGGGCACCTAATCACTGGTTACTCCTACTTGCTTTTCAATAGCAACTGCTCAGGTTAGCCTTCTTCTCATCCATCCAAAATTCAAATGCAAATTGAATAAAAAATAAAAATATAATCAGCCAATGGCCGTGTATAGAGGCGTATGTAAACGACTCTCATTGGCTAATCTTTGACTCAGTAACGTCTTAAAGCACGAGCAACTTATGCAACCCATCTTCGTCTATCTTACATTATGAAAAAGAGATAAACAACACACATCTCCGACAAGTGCGTGGTTTAAAGAAACAGCTCCGAGATTTTCAAAGCACTCTTTGATTTGTGTTCTAGCAGAAGGTGTCAGTGCATGCAATCCGAACAGGACCTTATTGTTTTATAATTGTTTGTCGTCAGGTGGTTGAGTTTCATTCATAAATTTCTCGTGCGTATATCAGTGGCTGATTATTATCTTTGACGTTGCAATGTTATCGACGAATTCTATGCCGCGAACATCAACCGTTTCCATCACCGCGTCAACGGCGACGACCGTCGCGGCGGCCGCCGTCTCTGTACTTCAAGAAAACGGCGGTCCTTCGCAGTCGGCTGGACCCAACGGTTCGTCCAATTCGCAACAAATCGACAAAAATGAAATCAACGATGCAGTCACCAAAGTACTTCAAGGCTATGACTGGACTCTGGTACCCATCGCATCCAAGTAAGTAATTTTTTAATACACGTAAGTGACGATAATATATCAAACGAGTGCACTACAAGAGCAAAGTTGATGCTCATCCATCAGACGTTAAAATATTTTTATCGGCAATCGTTGAAACAATTTTGTCTGTTTTTGCAAAAGTTTCAATCCATTTTCGAAAAAAGTAAAAAATGATGTGTTCTCATTATCAAGAAATTATGTACCCTCAAGAAGGAATTATTGTGACTTCATATGTATTCATTAATTTGGCAGTGTGAAATTAAGTATATAAATTATGGAACTATTACTTTTTCTCTGCTATTATTAGAACAGATTTCCATATAATAAAAATTTAGATCAAATGAAAATCGTCTGATTTCCAATGCCAAATGAAGCAATTTGTTTGTTTACATTCGCACCTATCAAATTTTAAAGGCTAATATCAACAGAACAAATTGTATACTTTTATCTGAATAACATTATATTTATATTCTTTAGAATTTATTGTCAATAAATATTGAATAAAAAACCGTTAAGTTGATATATCTCCATAGTACAGTAAATTTACTATCAGTGTGTACTGCGTAAATTTACCAGCGGTAACGGATTGTTATCGAGGGACATATCGAATTATTTTGATAACGTTGGTCTTATAATGCTTCAAGTTTTATTTAACATTTGTAATTACACCCTGCTTTGAGTTAAAGTTATTTATTTTTATTTGATAATATTACAAACATCCAGAATTTATTTTTTAAGTGATGTACTGAACATATATAAGTAGTCAGTCACTTAAAACAATCAACAGAACCTCTGGGATCGCGTCGTGGTACAGTGGATATGATATTCTTTTTCCTTATTTACATAAATCATATATTATAATTTACGTTTTTTCCGAGTACCTATATACTAAGAAGAATATTTTGCCTACAATTTAAACATTTTTTTTTTGCAATAGACGAGTACCTACATATAAACAATAAACTTCCTGAAATTTTGACACTGTAATCAAGATAAATAATTTTCACATATTTTTAGGCTCATACAAGCGACAACCACTAACGGTTTTACCTTAAAGGAAATTACGACAGTCATGCACCAGTCGTACATTATATACATTTAATGATAATATACAGAAAGCAAAAAAATGCGCTTATTTTTTGAGATATTAGGAATATGTGCCTATAAATGCGGCTGAGTAAATTTGTTAAATTTCTTTCATTTCGTTAGAGCCTTCTAGTGATTTCAAACAATTTCCATACAAGCATTTAATCTTTTCTTTTATACACCCTACAGTTTGTTTAGTTCTAAAAATCCATAACGTCAGATTATTTATTTATGGATTTTATTTAATACAATATCCTGATCTCAGAAAAAAGTTAGTCTGCACCTCAGTAAAGCTCTTCTCATAGAAGTTGGAGAACAGTTAAAGGTAAGGGTGTTAAATGCCTGTTTACAAGAAAAGTGCAAGTGAAACAGTATGCAGTTTGTACTTTCCCGTTTATTGTGATGTTGAAAAATGTAAAAAAAAAACTTCAGCAATAAAACTCAGAAAATGTGTACCATTTTAGAGGTATTGCGAAAAACACAGAATCGGCAGTTTTTGAAAAAATTGACTAATTTTCTCATTTTTACTTTGGAAGTAAAATTTTAGGCAAGTACCCAGTGCAACATTGCGAAATATAAAAACAGTTTCTGAAAAGATTGTGCCTGACAGATATTAATATAAAGTTATTATTAACGTAGTTTCTTTATTGGACACTATATTAATTACATTTTAGTGTAGATAAACAGAAAATAAATTACTAGTTTTTCGTACATACTAGTTTTTTGCTCAGTTATAAATTTAGTTAGTTTCTTCTGCTCCTTATCAATATAAAACAATATCGTGTTCTACATGTTTATTTAATTCCCACATTTTTTTTTTATTGAACTGCACTGTAACTACGTACATAGTATTGCCATATAATAACAATATAAATATAAAGTAACATAACTACAAGTGCTTAATTTAAAATAACATCAACTACTACAGTATAATGAAAATAACACATAAAAAACTAATAAATGTGAAAAGCAGTATTAATAATGTTATTAACTAAATATTTTATTCACATATGATATCAATGATCTAATTATACACCACTGTAAATATACCTAAGTCAACGCTTAATAATGTTATATTTAGGAGTACAGTCAATTTGTGTGATAATTAACCTATACAAAAAAACATTACAGAAGTTATTGCTCTACGTTTTTCAAGAGACGTAAAATTAAATGTATTTAATAAAGTAATATGGTCAGAACTTCGAGATGGATTATTATGTATTTTATGCCATATGTACTTCTAAAACTTTTTCTGTACCCCTTGTAGAACTTATTTATAATGATCATAAAAAGGACACCAAATTAATGAGCCATAATCCATTTTTGATACGACAAATACCATGTTGAGTTTAATACAGGCAGGTATAAACTCAAAAGATCTAGTGTTACGCAGTACAAAGGTTAATAGAGATGACGTGGATGAATCTAATAATTGAACATGATAATTAAAATTAAAATATACGTTAAAATAAATACCTAGATCCTGATCAGTTAGAGTCAGTTACACATGTTGTAATTAAAAACGCAATATCTTTTCCTTGCTGCTGAATGATACAACTTTACATTTTTTATAATTGATAAATAACTTGTTTCGTACACTCCATTTGACTGTTTGTTTAGAACATTTTTGAAAATTTATTTTGTTGTGGAAAAATCATTTAAAACTTATTTGTAAATGTTTGTAGTTTATAAAAATAAGGAACAAGGTTTGACCCTTGGACGATTGCTAAAGTAACTTTATACTGAAAACAATTGAACCCAATATGTCCAATTGTAAAAGATATCTGCAGTTCTAATTAGTTTTTAAAATTTATACAAATACAAACACACATACGTACACATTTATATAAATATATATTTATTTAAAAACTCTGTCTAATGCATATTTTTTCTTGTCTTTTTTTCTCTTCTATAAAAGTACCACTGTTTAAAAAATTGCTACTCGAAGTCTACTAAACTCATATCTTTGACTTTTTCCTTAGTTTTTCATCAAAAGATTTTTCCTTAATCTATCTTATATCGTATCATTTATGGTTTATGGTTTTCAAGATTACAGAAGAGAAGAAAAGTGGTACCATTACTAAAAAAAATCATATATGGGAATCACGCATTCTCCTCAATTTTTTTACTGTTGCTGTCAGTGGAGTGGATTCGTCATTCTACTTTTTCAAAGTTTTATCAAGAAATATCTATACAATATTTCAGTTCCCTACTTGCCTGGTACACATTCTTCTGACACACTACACATAATTTACTAAATATGTTATAGTTTCTACAGTTGTTCGACTATTACAGTTTTATATGCAATAAAATTAGCGAATAAGAAACAAATGTGTATAGATTTTGTAACAACTATGGCCTATGAAATCAATTGGCGAAACCACCAGACACAAATTAAAAAAAAGTGAAGGGAACATATCTAAATAGATAAATATAAAAGAGAGTAATATAATAATAATAATATTACTTATAGCTAAGCGGAGAAAGATTTTTTGGTCTAATAATTTAATTATTTCATTAGCTGACTCGTAAACACTGGTTTTTGTTAGTTGGAAGAAAATTTAGCTTCAAATACTGAAATATATTGCTTAATTGTAGGTAGTGGTTTTCTTTAGTCACCAGTTTCCACACGTTGTTTACAGTTTAATAATTCACATAACGTATTTTCCTCAGATTTGAAAGACAAAAAGACTAAATACCTAACATAAGTAAGTAGGTATATTGACGTTGCTTTTGAAACGGTTGTTTCTATATACTGCTCAAAACTGTAAATATTACATATTTATAGTTAGGTATTTGATAACGGCATACCGGAAAAATCAGTTCCTTTAGTGTTAGCATATTTTATTTTAATAAAATTTTGGTAATAGTTATAGCTACAAATAGCATCGTCACTTAAACAGGAAAAGTGTTGATGTAATCTGCATTGACCAAGTTTGTTTCCTATATTGTTGTAGTATACATTAATTTCTGTTTTGCTTGTATTTTTCTAATATTTAGAACTTTAAAAAAGTAATTACATATAAATTGTATCTATAAAAAACATAAATCGTTATTACATAATATGTACTTTTTAATGAGTAGTGATAGACAATTAGAAACTAGGACATTTTCAGAACACAAGTTAACAATCTTATTACAGTGGTTCAATACGTATACGAAGACTGAGACATTTATTTGGTTCTTGCGAGTCATCAGGAAACACGATATTTTTACAAACGGCGAACACTGTTATCTGAATCTGTAATATTAGATCTAAAATGTTACAGTTCGGTTAAAGATACAACCTAATTGCTCTTCAACTTGCGGTAACTTTTACGACTTCGTCGGAATGGCGGCATTATTCCGCTTACCTGGTGAAGATCTTCTCTTAAGAATAACTACAAATAAAAATTATTTCAATACGGCACGTGGTCTACCTAACTGCCGTCTAACATGCCATGGCCTGCATTTTCTGAATTTTATTACAGATCCGCTGTTAAATGCTTATGAAGTCACAATCGTAAACGCACTATATCTTTGGCCGAACTTATTCATATACTATTAAAGTAAAACTGGTCAAGCGTACCTATATCAGGGAATTTTTCAATTGCGATTTGGAATCAATTTATCTTAACGTACTATATTATAATTTAACATAATTATGTATATGATATATTACATACTCAAACAATGTAGAAAATAAGTATAGGTCGATAAACATAGTAGTAAAGTAGATTTCTTATAAAGTGACTTTGTAAGAATCCAAAGAATGAAACTAAATGACGTACATAAACTTCACATTTCGATCTATATATATTATAATTCTCATATAAATCTAGGTGGAATGTTAGTTTATATGCAAAGCAACAACACTGCTGTATCATTAAAAGACTGTACACGTTATTAAATGAGCTGCATATGTGAAAAATTCGGTGTTTTAAACATAATTATTAAATTTACTTACTTTCCAGATTAAGATATAAGCGTCTCTGAACTTTATTACAGAAAATTCAGTTCCTCAACAACATGTGTCATGTACAATATTTTGATAAATCCAAAATTGTAAAAAGGTAACCGCTCGATTAACTTCAGCTGTATAACTGTTTTCTGATCTTTGTTTTAGTAAAATCTTAGATATATTGATTTTAAGTCTTTTGCAACTAATAAAAAATGTTGTTCTTATGAGCAGGAAGGTGATTTTTTTATGCCTGCAAGCATTCATATTTCATATGCTGCTTTCCGTATACTGATTATGAAAATACGAAAATAGTACGTAATTAATAACTTGGTATTACTTACATAATTGAAATTGAAAACACCTGTGATAGATTTAGTGCATTTACAAAGATATTAGATTTAAGGAACTTCGTATAAATTTAAAGTGTAAATAATTGTATGAAATGTACTGTATTGACAACTTACACTGAGCAAACTTATTAGAACAGCCAAGTGCACTAGAAAATTTATTAGGTTATAAGCAAAAGATATAAGAGATGTTAAAGTTTACAAACCTATTCTGCATGAGATAATTTGTTTCTAAGTTTTTAAACCGGCAGTGTAAGTAAACATGTTATGTGAAATATAAACATTCTATTTCCTCTTCAAATTATAAGATATAAAATTTCTACCTGCCTTTAGTTAATTATTTATTCAGTGCTAGACGATGATTTTTGAATAAATATTTGCTCGTAATTCACATATAACTGTTTTGAACAAACATGGAGACCATTACCTTTTATATGTAACAAAATGCATCATAAAATGTTCAAATAATAATTGGTATTTAAATATAAATTTTTATTACGTGAACTGTAGAAAGCTGAAGTTTTAATTATTCATGCACATACAACAGAAAGACCAATAATAATAATTTACTACTCCTATTTCAGGATATGTTATAATATTTCTATTATTGTTAAGTATACAGAGTAATTCCATTTACCATCATACAATTAAAAAATCAACACGTAACTTAGAAAAAAGCTAGAAAAAGACATTTATTGTCGTATGCATGTTGTATGCAATTTCGTGGTAACACTAATAAGCTTTAGAAGTGTTTGAAAGTTCCGCCGCAAACAAAACGATTTTAAAGGCGGTTAATTAAGGTACAGATGTTAATGAGGCTTAACCGACGGTGCCTTTTATCTTTTTTAAAGTATATTAACAGATTTTATGTAATTGAAAACATGATGTAGCTTTGTTTGTCAGAAGCATTTATTTGAAAATAGATTTGTTTCCATTTTTTACTCAGCGCCATACCGTTTATGTTATTAGTTAATTGATGTATTCGTTCGAAAAACAAATTAATAACAGACATACAAATTTTTTATTAGGTGTCGATGTATTTGTTGTTTTAAAAATGTGTAATTTTTTTCTGTATGGAATTAACAGTAAATAAATATAAGTAATAAATTTAAGTACTTAGTTTAATTTAGTTTTAACTTTTCTTTACTTATTGTCAATGAGTATTTACGTTATTTTTTTAAACCTGCTGCAAAAAGTTAGAAAAGGCTCATTTGCTGGATTTGTCTTGAATCATCAAACTCACGATAAATAGAGAATCTGTATATAATAGGTGTGAATTAACATTCACACTCAAAGAGAACAGTCGTAAAATCTAATGAAATTAAAGCTAAGTGGTTGTGTACCGCAAACTTTTAAAAACAGAAATTAACAGTAACTGTGTTTTAATTAGTAGTGCACTTACGTGATTCAGAGAGTAAATAGGTTTTTGTTTTAAAAAATTGTCGCAATTTAACTCAAAGTGATAACATACTTTAAAATATACTTTATGATTTTTTTACAACAGAAAATTAGTGTCCGTAGATACCTACTTACTTATCACGGAAAGTAACGCGTAAACCTATTTTAATTAATCGGCGTCGGAAAAATAAATTTTTAATCGAACATTTTTAATATGAGCCTGATTTTAATCTTCACACTAAAAGATACCAAATGCTAGTTATTGTAAATCCGACAGTGTAAATATGTCAATAGAAAGTAGGAAGTTTGTTTATTGGGGAAACACGAATACGGTTTATGGTTCACCGACAAATATAAATTGCCATTCGATTCAGCACATCAAAGAAGGACCTTACTACTCTACACTGAAGACGTTTTTGATGCAACAATAGTCAAATTTGACAATTTTTTCTTTTTTTTTTTCTTGTTAGAAAGCATAGTCACCCTAGCGTTGAAAAAAAAGGTATTCTTGTAACGCAACCTTCGTGCAAACAGTTTGTAACGTTGTCATTATAAAATATTTGTTTTAATTATTATTTTTTAAACTTAATGTATGCGAAGAGGTGGCACCAGACAGTTGTGCTAAAAGCCGTGCTTAAAAAAAATTGTCGAAGGTTATTTCGACAGAACTTCCCTCGCCCTTGGAATAGAATCCGACAAATCCCGCTTCTTTAAAAAGTATAAAATTTGATTTTGCGATTTTCGTTTTATCATTATTTCTATAAAGTAAAAACCGGCCGGATAAATGACACCCCCGCACCCTCTTCACCGTTTGCGCTTCCAAGTAAGGACAATGTAAAATATATTTAAAGCAGATAACCAATTGGATAAAATGTCCTCTCAGCACTAATAACAAGCTTAAGTTCAAGTAGCAATTAGTTTGATATGAATGAGTTTGTCTTCTCAAAACAGAGGATGAAAATTATTAATTAAGCCGCAATCGAAAAAAATGTTCTGAACATTATAATTCTTATGTTATCATTATTAAATAAAGACGTGTGTATTCTCACATTTTTGAGAAAATGGGGTTCTTAATTTGACCAATAAAAAATTTGTGATGACGTCAGTAATGTGGATAATACTAGTCATACCACAAAAGAAAACTAGTCACAGCGCAGTACCAATATAAGAAAAAAAAAAAAAACACCAGGTTCGTCGCCATCGAACGTGTGATCGCAAGTTTCCGTTCTCCCAAGAACACACTAGTCCACGAATGCTTATATCTCCTGTTGGCAGTACAATGTTATTATACCTTGACAAAATTTGAACGTTTAAAGAAAAAACTGAAAAACCACCACAAGTATAGGAGTATATGTATTGTTGTATAACATTAAAATCATTTTAATATAGAATTCATTGAGATGACGCCATCAAATTGTTGGTGGACACCCAAATTAGCCAAATTTCGGCTAGCGGTTTACCATCTACATGATATTCCTAACATACACACAAAATTTACAACAATCGGTCCAGTAGTTTCTGAGATTATGTGTCTAAAAAAAATCGACACAGACAACTGTCAGGCAGAGAGCCAGACAGATAGACAGACAAACAAAAAGACGGAAACGGGGGATAAATTTTTTCGTACTCTTGCGTAGACAAAAAAATGAACTTGGCAAATCACCCGATGGATTCGATTACCTACACTTGGGAAGTAGAAATATGGGTTGTCCTGGTAAATAAGGTACTTAGCGCGACACAATCAATTGGTTACCTTTATTCCTTTTTCTGTTCCAGTTTTCTTAACTTTATCATGTTATAAATTTTTAAAGAATTTATTCTAAATAAACTATAATTAATTAAGTAGCTATATCGTCAGAAAAAAAAGTGTAAAAGCCACACCCAAATGAGATTAATAATAGACATTTGTAATTATAATCACATACCCTACATATATTCCAGTGGCGTAGCGCCCCCATACACCAAATTTAAAAAGTACTTAATATAAATATGTACTTACTCGTTCGCACATTAAAAAAAATATATCGGTTACGTTACGGTCTGCGCCCCTTTTGGCGCTGCGCCCCCCCGGATTGCGGGGTCTACGGGGGTGTTATTTACGCCATTGATATATTCACCTACACAGGATTATTCACGAGAACTTCCGCGCTTAAAGAAATCAAGACGCAACCAAAAATACAAAATCATTTTTGATATTTCATACTATTTAAAAAAAGTAAAATGGAATTATCTGTTTTGCTGTAACAATAGTAATACTATAGTAATAGTCAAATACTACCATATTAAAACTGACATTTCAACAGAATTGAAGCAAAATGTATTCAAGCCACGAAAACGAAACGTTATAGTAAACATCAACCGTACAGGAGACGGCCTCACGGGCTTTTGTTTGAATTTATTTGTTTTTATTTTTATCTTAAATTTGAGCTTTATGTCCATATTATTAAAATCAAAGAGCTAACTATGTTTTATTAATTAAAAATATGATAGTGATAATACAATATCAAAGACTGCTATGTAATTGTATTGTTGGTTGCGTTTTGAATTGTTTAGGTAAAGAGCTTCTCCTAAATAACATTGTAGGTTTATTGATATACCTGTTTTTCTTGAAAAATCGAAACTGTTCGCATTCTAATGAAAGTAATATGTTAGAAAAAAAAAAAAAAAATGCATGCTCAAGTACAGACTACAAGTTTAGGTGTATTTGATATTAAGTTAATTTTTTACGGTGGATAGCAGTGCATGTATTAAAAAAGTACTTCTCTACAAACCAATAGACAATTGTATTTTTGATGAGCCGAAACGAATATTTTGGCATATTTCACACAAGGTGTTGCTTTTTTGATGTTTATCGAAACGTACAAAACAAAAGTTATTTAATAGCTGCCCTACCATTTATAAATTGATTTCGTATAGTTATGTACAAGGTACAAATAACTAAAGTTAAAAACTTCGCTGTAGAAAAATACGATAGTTTTTTGTAATCAAATAAATACTATCCTTTAGACTAGCATATATTATATATTTTGAAGTATACAGACTTCTTTAAAAACTATATAGTGTAGCATCAGATTTCCATCAATACCTATAATATAAAAATTTGTAACACAAGTGTTAGATTTGATGTTGAAAACTGACCATTAACTTTTTTTACAGAGCAGCTTCCGACAAAAGAAAATTGCATGTGAAGAGACCGATGAACGCGTTTATGGTGTGGGCACAAGCTGCCAGAAGGAAACTAGCTGATCAGTATCCACAACTTCACAATGCGGAACTGTCCAAAACTCTTGGCAAGTTGTGGAGGTGAGAGACTTTATTTTACGTTTTGTTAATAATAGAAACTGTTAAATGTGGAATGCATTAGGGTGTATATTGCGCATGGAAAAGGAGCATGTGAATAAGTAAAAGTATATACATTAGTAACAATTTGATCAAGTTTTCTTTTCTTATTAATTATTTGATAACTTTCGGAGGATAATAATAATAATATAGAGATTGTTATAAAAAATATCAGTTTCCACGAACTTTGAGTTTTATGTATGAAAGAGACAATAATGGGGTGTAGGTACTGTAAAAATTTTGAAACAGTTATCACATAAAACTTACACCTGTATTGAATTAGTATCTTAAGTTTATTCATATTTGCAGACGCATTATTAAAAAAATGCTACTACAGTCCACAAACATGCAGATGTTTTTCAAAATGTAAAAAAAAAATGCTTTTAGTTAACAGTTTACTTAGTTTCATAACTTTCATTTATTTCTTGCGATTATTTTCTTCAACATTTTGACACTATATAAAATACTCGAAAAAACACATAAATTCGGAATCTAGGGATTGGTAAATAGTAAAACAATCACATTTTTCAAATTAATCGAATCATATAAGTATTAGCTATTAGGTATTGTTTTATTAATACACCAGGTGGAGGAGTGGTTTTGATATACAGCACTTTTACACTCAAATTTGAGTAATGCTTTTTTCATATGAAATGGCATTTAAGCTCTTTTATTTTCGCCTAATTTATTTTGGCTTTAGGTATTTGAAAAATTATCGTGTTATCATACAACGAAACAAAAAAACATGATAAAATGATACTACAGTTTAAGCAAAGTTCTTGTTTTTCATCTAGAAAAGGACATACCAAGTTAAAAATCTTTAAATTTATGACCCAAAGAAAATCTATTTCGTGTATATATTTAACAGTAAATTTTGTTATGCCTTCATTTTTTCATATTTAATCAATTCGCCTAATGATTTATTTACAAGTGGAGAAAGTTTTCAAGAGCCAAATCCAATATATCAAGTGTACAAATATTTTCTTCTACTGTAGTGTTACTAATCCATTAAATCCATTATTTTTTACTAAAATAGCGTCTATTTGTATCTATAAAGGTCAAGATATAATTTACCCTGGTCACAGCAGATGCGTCCTGTTTGACGGTCAATGATCGACTCCAGTTGACTTTCTGGCTTATCTCTTTACAATATCCTCTGCGTTATTGCGATAACAACTCATTCATATTATCACATAAGTTCTTTATGAATGAAATTATATCATCTATTGTGTCTGCATTTCTAGAAAATTTAGCAACGATTGTTGAATCTACTTACATGTTATATTTAACATTTTGTTTATTATTGCACACAATCAATATGTCGACGGTGGCAAATCATAATGCATGCATGCTTGAAGGTGTTCAACGAAGTATTTGTAGAGTGGCATACCTAGTAAGAAATTTGTGAAATCCACTGAAATGTATTTTGTGTTTGGTATTTATTACAAACATATGTATTCTAAGCTAATATGACTAATAAAATTATTTAATTGAGACGCATTCAGTATAATGAACAAATTAAGCAGTTTTAGCTGTTCGTTGTATTTGTTATTAAATCAGATCGATCTAACTACCATCAAAATCTGTACCTACGTTGTATCTCAAAGTCGTAATTGAAACCTAATGTGCTCTAGATTTATAATTAAATTAGCTTCATTTCTGTAATTCTTGGAACAGCTTGCTTACTCTATAGTTACTTGCACACATATGAAAAACATAAACAAATAAGGCAATCATAATAACATTTTTTCAAATATAAGGATAAAGTTCATTGCTGAAGTTTTTTTATTTCTTTGTAAAATCATTGGATACTAAATACGTCGTCATCTCAAGTTCACATCAATGAAAGAGCAAAAAATGAGAATTAAAAGGTTATTATTTTAGATTAACCTTATTTCAAATAAAAAGAAAAAAATGTTTTATTTACTCAGTGTGAAACATTTTAACTCATAATTTTTATGTAGAATATAGTGTGTATTTTTATCCCAACGTATAACAACAGCAAAACAAAATATGTACACGGAAATGATTATACTTAAAAAAGTTTTGCAATGTTGGTATTAGATATAAAATTTGGGTATCAAAGTTCGGACATTTTTTGTGAAGTGATAATTTTATTTTGGCAGTTAACAAATTAGTGTTAAAATGAATAAATTACAGAGAGAAATATTTATAGACTTCATTATTTTTGAAATGTCTGTGCTATTTAAGGAAGAAAAAAAAATAGCCACTCGTATCCTAATACAATACTTCTTGAAGTCACGTAAGCCAAAAGTACAGATGCAGAAAAATGATGATGTAGACTCGCATTGAGTTTATGTATATTTTATACAACATATATTGCTGTGCTAACTTCAAACAAAATAGTGAACAATCTTATACGGTGACAGACAATCTCCGAAACTACTGGATTGACTGTTGTGAAATTTTAGGTGTTTTTCAGGGCGCTCGTTTTGCTGCGAAAACGCTAACCAAAATTTGTCTCATCATCCCCAACAATCTCAAAATTTTGCAAATAAATCTATTTAATTTTTTTATGAAATCAATTTTTTTGCAGAAAAAGAAAAAAAAATTACAATTTTACAAATCAATATAGAAACTACAGAATCAACTCTTTTGAAATCTTGCAAACATCTTAAGTGTATTGTAAACATGGTAAATCGGTAATCAAAATTTATTTGTTTATTCTTCACACGAAATGATATCATCACAAAATTTTCGTGGATAAAACTTATTTCAAAAAATTACTACATTTGTGATTTATCAATACATCCATCCATATCTTCTAGAACTCGTTATAAAAGCTGGATTTCTTTGATGGTGTAGTACATGCCTTCTTTGTGTTTTCAGCAAATAGTTATCTAAGTACTTTTGTTGGATATTCTTACTTGATATATAGAGCAACATGATCTTGTATTTGTGGCTAAAATAAGAATCTAGCCTTATTTTTAACTTTATATAGCCGAGTTATTTATTGTAAGAAGAATCAAAATTGTAGCAATTTTATACACATTTTACATTTTCTCTAAGAAAGTAGGAGAGATGCGATGAAAATGATTCCCTTAAACAAATTAATAATTTACCTCTCAATAAACAAATTAATCATATATAACAACTTTTTGTTAGTGTGAATTATATTTAATTAGCTTCAGTACAATGTCACTTAAATATTAATTTGTGATAAGCTATCATTATAAAGGTATACTTCATGAAATAACTTGAGAACCATATTACTCCTACTACAAATAAAAATAATCCTTACCTCAAGGGGATATGATCCCACCGAAAATACCTTCAGTCTGTATATAGAATAATAAATTTATTTTATTTAAGGTTTACATGAGCCCTGAACGTAATTTGTGGGGATTAATTTTTGAGGATTTCTATGGGGAAGCCACTTTACAGACATTTTGCTTAGTCAGTCCAAATAGACGTAATTCCATTAGTCCAGTAAATTTGGCCTTAAAAAGGGACAACCGTGCATTTTGGTTAGGCAGCGATTTTTTGTTAAAGTCTCTTTATTTAGTTACAAACAATTTTTACCTTTAATTGAATAATAAATTCATAATAATAATAAAGAAATTTTTCGCTAAAATTGTTGTTTTATAATCTGGTTCATTTTTTCTAAACTTTATGTTTTTATTTAAAATAGTTGAAACTGTTATCATAATTCTTCCAAATATTACCATTGGAATAATAATAGGAACACAATGGATGGCAATATAAGAAACACTGCAATTATTAAACTTATATGTAGCCCTAGTTTGTTGGTTGGGTTAATCGTGTTAGTACATGAAAAAGGCAGTTATGGTACAGCAGCATAGTTGTATTGCCTTTTTACATGTTTACAATTAATTATTTCAGTGGCTCAAATAGGTCTATCTCTTCATGAATAAATTTTAGCAGCAAAAGATTGTTATGTTAGTAACAGTTGCCGGTTATAAAGACAAATTACAACGATATATGTTCGAATTACTTACAATTTGTGTAATTTTTTATTCCTGACAATATTAGGAACATTTTCTTGGTCCCTTTAAGTCTCCATTTTAAAGTCATTCCTAAAATTTCAATAGCTGAAGTTGCTGAAGCCATTTATCCCTCTGACCAATTCTGACAATTAGTTTTTTTTTTAATGTACGTCCTATTTTGAAAATAAATATTTTGATACAGAAGAAAAAAATAACTTAGGCATATTCAATTCTTAATATTGGGGCAACATGCCCCAATCCACAAGGAACATTTTACCTACATTTTACCTCTTTTGTAAAATGGTCTCTAATCTAATTATACTATCGGCGATGCATTTCGACAATGTGAGGTCAAATTCCATAATAACCTAAAATGTTTCATTTAGGTAATTTAGAATTACACAACAAACTTATGAATAGCAATAAACTAACCTTTTTTATATCACTAAAATGATTGCAATAATATATTGCTGCTTCAATCCACGAACCCATCTTGTTAGAACAGGTTCTGGAGGCAATGGATAATCCGGTAAGGCTTCTCGAAAAGCTTGGATCCTAAAATGAGCTTTAAGAAATATTTTCTTTACGTTAGAAATTAAACCTCCATATTGCTTCCCGATAACTTCAGATACAAAACTTAAGGCGTGAGCCAAACATGTTACATGCATTAAGTTGGGATAATATATTTCCAGATCTTTGCAACATTTAACCATGTATTCAGCGCCGTCCGTTAGTAACAGTTTTAATTTTTCGTATTTGATTCCCTTTGGCCATAATATACCTGTATTTTTATATTTGAATTAATATTATCATTTCAGAAATTGGGTCATAGACCAAGTTTAAGTTCGGCTTACATAAGATTACTTACGTTACCACATAGCAAAGTTTCAAATTTGCCCTAATTGTGCAACAATGTTAATGTAATCGTGCATTGGCAAATATAGCCATATATCAGATTGACGTTACTAATAAGATGCAATTTGAACACTAATGCAA